TCAGTTCTTCCTTCCCTTTCAGAATCCCATCTGGGAGAAGTTAGACTCTGCCCAGTGATAATTTCAGCTCTCTCGAGAGCAAGTTGGACACCACCCTCCAAGTGACTCAACCTCAGGAAATACTTCTCCTTTCTGAGGTATCTTCTCTTCCAACTTAGGGTTAGAAGTTGCCCCTCCTCCCAGGTCATGTGGGCTTGGCAAAATAATATTCCACCTAAGATATCTCTTCTTTGATTTTTCAATCTCCATTCCTTGACCTTTCTATGTCCTGGATGTAGCTTAAACCTGAGAATCCACAGATTCTTCAGGCCATTTGCTTTGAAAGTCTTCATGGCATGATTGGGTGCTTTTCTTTGAAATTGTATCTATTGTGTTTTGTTTCCTGCTGGAAATTTCAGTTTTAAAATCCTATTACACAAGTAGTAAACAAATATGATTCATGGGCCGATCCTTGAACCTTGATCCAGTGGTATAACATCTGTCTTTGTTAAGCATTTGATTTCTGAGTGTGTTATTGTGTTAAAAAAAATATTGGGGGGAGGAAGGGGAATAGTTCTACAAAGAATCTTATTTAATCCTTGACCAGTAATGTTATTTAGCACTCGTCAACTAGAGCTGTAGGCATACGGACTTCATAAAATTATTTGGAATGAAATACGAAGTGGATATTTTTTATGTGGTTGTAGATTGATCCCCAAGGGCATCATGTGGTCTTCACCACCAAGGCCTCTTCCAGCACAAGAAAGTGGTGAGTTCATGATTTTCTGTCTGGAACGTGGCTTTGCAATGCTGAGCCACTAGGAGACAAATTCTCCCAAATTAACTGCATCACAGCTGACCATTCTGAGCTTAGACTTCACAGGCTGCTTAGTAGTATGTCTCAGTGATGTTTGAAGGGAGCAGAGGGTAATGGGTAGTTCTGTGTTCTGAGGTCAAGATTTCCTTACAGGGTTCTTTGAGTCCAAAACAGAAAGAGAAGCGTTATCTCTCACATGTGGCCTAGCCAGATTTTATGTGCTGCTGGCTCTCCCTGGCCTTTGCAGGTAAGATGGAGACCCAGAAAGATGTGTATTGTAGGGATTTCCCCATTTTTTATTGTTTGCATAAAGCCAGGGAGGAAAAAGTCTGCATAAAATCCAAGAGAGTTTCTTTTAGTTCTCTGAAACCTGAATTTTGGAATTAGAAGGCAGCTGCTTAATGTTTGTTTTGTTAAAGAAGTGACTCCCTGAGTTGTTGTCTCTTAACCTTTTTGAGCCTATGTCCTTTCTGAGGCACATAAAAGCTTGCCATTCCTTGAAGAGGCAAAGGTTTTCTTTGTCTGTCCACCTTGCTGCCTCCTTGATGTTCCTATGCTTTCTGACATCATGGGAGCAGAGATGTTATCAAACTTTACTTCCTATAGATTCTATTACAAAAACAACAGGTATTTGTTGACTCTTCAAGTATATAAACAGGTATTATACAGTTGATTGTGCTTTTTCACTCTATGTTACATGTTTTCATGCCAATATGTTGTTGTTGGTACAAAATGTCCTTCAATTTCAGAGACCTCCTGAAGGCCATACATGAACTCTCAAGGGATGGTTTCTCCCTGCACTGGTTGACTCAGTGGGCACTCCTAGACTTCTCTTTCCATCCTCTTTCCATCCCTGTTACACTCAAGCTTAGAGCCCTAAGTATACTGAGGTTTGGCTACTACTCCCATCCCTACATTTTTATTGACATGTGTCCAAAGAGTTTAAGCAGCTTTCCCAAAGTTGCACTACTATATTTATGTAGGAGATCCCCAGAAAGAACTCAAGTCACCAAATTATCTGCTTAAAATTCTTTCCATTATAGGGCCTCCCCTGGTGGTGCAGCGGCTGAGCGCTGGGCTGCAAGGATGCCTGCAGCCTCTGCAGCGCTGGTTCGTTCCCCGGCCACTGGCAAGGGTCCCACAGGAAAAAAAAAAATTCTTTCCATTATATTATCAATTGTTTCAATTTTCTCTGTTATCTCATTCCTTCTGAAGACAGTAACCAATACTATAAAACAAACTTGCAGGAAAGAAAAACCTGCAAAAAAAGTTCATATTCTTTTGCACATACTAATATCAAGGTACCTTTATTTTATAGTACCTCCAACACCAAGAAAATACTTGTTCAGTTGCTGTGAACCTGTATTTTTGCCAAACATAATAAACAATACAGAAGAAAAAAATGTATGTAACTCCTAACTTCTGGCAATTTAAATTTTATTCAGTGGACAAGTCTGGTTTCACATTCGACTGTGACATTCTGGGCTTTTAAAAATGCATTTATATACACAATGGAATACTATTCAGCAATCAAAAAGGATAAACTCATGCCATTCACAGCAACATGGATGGAACTTGAAGGGATTATGCTCAGTGAAACAAGTCAGAAGGAAAAAGGAAAATACCAGATGGTTTCACTTATAGAAAGAACATAGGGAGTCAGAGAAAAAAAAAAGATAATCACAACAACAAAAAAACCCACAACAAAACTAAAATAAACAGACAACTGTAAATCAGAGACGTTCTGCAGCTGAGGGGGAGAGAAAGGAATTAAAATGAGGGTGGAAAGGGCACAAGGGACTATGGTGATGGTGCACAGGTGAATTTATGGTAGAAATTCTATGGGGATTACACCTGAGAAAAGAAAGCAAACATTGCAAGAATAAAAAATAAATAAATTAAAATAATAAAAAAAAAATAAAAAACAAGTTATCAACAACGACAAAAAAATAAAATGCATTTATAATTGGTGGTTTTCAGCTCTACACCCCTGCTATATAACTTCTCTCTCCTTGAATTCTCCTGTAGTTCATCTATGTCAAAGAATAATTAGCGAGATTGGAAGGAATATAGGAAAAGTCAAAGGTCATTTATTGGTAAATTTAGTTACCAATATTCGAGCAAAAAATGCTCAAATAATAATAAAAGGTAAATAGTAGTATTATTTTCTAGATGGGGAAACTGAGACTCACGATTATGTGACTTGTTCAGGATAGCTCAGTCAGTAATAGATGGGGCAGAGTCTTGCAGCCAAAATGGCTCGTGGCTGAGCCCACAGACCTGCTTTCAGCCTATGCAAAGAGGGTAAATAAAGTGGGAAAAAGCAAATAGGGAAAAATAGGTTTGGTTAACAATTAGTTTTGTCATGCAGAGGTTATAAATATAGCAATTACCTGTGTGAGGTTTTTGAACATACTAAGTATTCCTTGTGTCATTCCTAAAGTTGTGCAACTGTTTGTGTGAGTGGGAACATTTCCAAGGTAGAGAAGAGATTCCTAGAGGCGGAACCGGAGGGGTCTTGTTCTCTCTAGCTAGCTCTGTTGATTTTCCCTCTTATTTGTATAAGAACAGGCCTGAAGTAAGAGTAAATACATCAGAGATGTTAAGTCTCAGGCCCCATGTATTAAAAGGGAATTTAACCATCACAGCTGTGATCTGGAAGCAGATTTCCAGGTCACCAAGTGTTGACAATGGGACAGTGACACCATGGGTTCCTGTGAGGAGAAAGCCATTTGCTGTGACCCACTCTCTCGTCAGACTCAGGCAGTGTTTACAGAGGACAACCCACAACACTACACTGACAATCTCCTGGTTTGTTCAGGGCCTTCTTTTTTCTTTTTTTTCAATTTTTTTTTTTTTTAATATTCCCCATACAGTTGCAACCCTGATTTTGACCCCAATCCCTCCTTTCCTCCGACCCCAAAGAGTGTCTCTGATTCATAGTTGTTTGTTGATTTTGATTTTTTCCTTTCTTATAGTTATTCTTTTTCCTGGTCCCTTATTTAGGTTTTCCTACTATGAGTGAGACCATCCGGTATTTTTCTTTTTCTTTCTGGCTTATTTTGCTGAGCATGATCCCTTCCAGCGCCATCCATGTTGCTGCAAATTGCATGTGTTTATCTTTTTTGAATGCTGAGTAATATTCCATGGTGTCTATGTACCACATCTTCTTGATCCAGTCATCTATTTTTGGGCATTTGGGTTGTTTCCAAAGCTTAGCTATTGTAAATAGTGCTGCTATAAATATATGGGTGCAGGTGCTCTTTGGAATTAATGTTTCTGTGTCCTATGGGTAAATACCTAGGAGTGAAATTGTTGGATTATGTGGAAGCTCTATCTTTAGTAGGTTGAGGAATCTCCACACAGCTCCCCATAGTGGTTGGACCAGTTTGCACTCCCACCAGCAGTGCAGGAGAGTTCCTTTTTCTCCACATCCTCGCCAACATTTGTTGTTGCTAGATTTTTTAATATGTGCCATTCTCACTGGTGTGAGATGATATCTCATTGTAGTTTTGATTTGCATTTTGTTCAGGGCCTTCTTATCCCTCTGCTTTTCCCTGTAAATCCCTAGTGCCCGGTGGGATAATGTCACTTTTTGTATTTTTCCCTGGAGATGAGGGAAGAAGAAGTAGGGAGTTGATGAATCTACTCACATGAAAATAAAAGTTGTTTTATTCCGTTGGCATGTCCCTATGTTGTTTACTCCCAAGGGTGTGCAAAGTAAAACTTGTTTATAAGTTTTCAAGCAGTAAGAAGAGGGAACATGGAGAAAAGATTAAAAATATAGACTGTATGAACTGACTTGCTTTTGGGTAGAGAATGAAAGTAACAGACCATTCCCAAAGAAGCAATCCTGGTTTAAAAAATACTTGGTTCCCCAAAACCTGGCATGTGTAGTTGTTTTATTTGTGCCCCCCTTTTTTTTTGGTAGGCGATTTTAAGGGTCTATGACATAGTGGATTTTATTTTCTGGTTGGAATTTAAATAGTCCCTTTGTATATTAGGACTTACAAGAATCCTAAGGTGCATTAAGAATTGGAATGTGTCTGTGTTTGGGGAAATGTGAAGAAGATGAAGGGAAAATATTTTAGTTCCTTCCTGCAAATAATTATAAGTTATTTTACCACAATATTTTTTTTGGTCTGGTCTCCACTGATTTGAGATAAAAATAAATAGATTTTTTTTCCCCAAAAATGTATTTCAGGGCTTTGTTAGCGTCTCAGATGGAGCCAACATTTGCCAGGAATGTTTTCCCTTGTTTTGATGAGCCAGCTCTGAAAGCAACTTTTAATATTACAATTATTCATCATCCAAGTTATGTGGCCCTTTCCAATATGCCACAGCTAGGTAAGTAAAGTTTCTTGTCTCACTTATTATATCATATATATTGTACACATATATATTTAAATATGTTAATTATATATATACACACACACAGTTCTTTAATATCTTTCAGATCAATAGCATTTCTAGGCAATGTGTTGCTGCATCATAATAATTACAATGGATTATTATTAGGGTACTCTGTCCAACAGGGTCTGTGTCAGCACTCACATCTTAGAGATGGCAAATCGAATTCTTCTTGTATTAGGAGCAGGCACCATTATACTGTTCTACATTGGCAGCCTGTCTGCCCATTAGTTTGGGACTCAACTATTGATCATTAGTGATAACAAGCTTAGCCTGAATCTGGCACACAGATGTGTTTTATTTGGCTCACATGACTTTTTTCTTTTGATTGAGTTGTATCCAACTTTTAAAACTCCAGAGATTTCACATAAAGATTCTTCCTTCCTTGAAAACTCAGAAGCCCTAACAATGCTGGGCCTGCAGGTCCTACATGACAGTGGTAGTTATAGCACAGAAAAGGCTACCCCCTGAAGGCTGGGCCTGCATCCCCAGCCTTATATGTCCCTGCCACGGCCCATCAGCGGATGTGGGCCACTTCACATCAAGTACCTGGCCCTGGTGGGTATTGGAGTTAGTGATTTTGGTTTTAAAGACTGTACCCTGCCTCCACTGAACAGAATGGCAGAATTGTATCTTTGACCATGGGCCTGGGAAGTTCTTGTTAAAGTGTTGGGAGAAATGGGCTGGACAAAAGAGAGGAGAAGTGTTTGGAACAGAGAGAAGGCTGATGACGGGCCTAACCGACAAGGCTCGTGGATTTGGCCCTCAGTTAAGACCCTGTTAGTCAAGATCTTGATTAAAGACCAAGCTGCTGTCCTGAGATCTTTTTAATATGGTTTTGATACCTTAGAAATCCAAACTGCTGGACTATGAGGAGCTACTGGGTGACAATTGACAAATTATCTCAAAGGTAGCTATTATTTCTTATGTCTTCAGTGATTTGGACTAAAGCAAATTTCTCTAGGTCAGTCTGAAAAAGAAGTGAATGGAATCAATTGGACCGTCACCACCTTTTACCCCACGCCCCACATGCCTACTTATTTAGTGGCTTTTGCTCTATGTGACTATGACTATGTCAACAGAACGGAACGGGGCAAGGAGGTGAGTAAGGAAGACTCCAGGTAAGGCACACTTACTACCGATGGTTCTTCCATCTGCTTGTACTCAGGGGTTCTGCTTACACAGCCCACTGTCACCTCCTGATTCTCTCCCCAACTTTTGCAAGCTCTGCTAGAGCTCTTGGTGTGACTTTGTGGAATGGGCTGTAAGAACCCCCCCTGGAGCTCTGTGGAGGGTTTCCATGAAAGGCTGCACACCAAGCCCACCCCCACAAAGCAGCTAGCTTCTGGGCCTCCTCTACCCAGCCAGTGGCTGCCTGTCAGAGGATAGGGGAGAATAGAGAGAGCTGCCACCTTGAAGCTGAGGTTGACTTGTTATCTGTCTAAACTACAAGGTACTGCATTCTTTTTTTTTTTTTAAGGATTTATTTATTTATGCATACAAGAGCTGGGGTACAGGCCAGAGGTGTGAGGGGTGAGAGGATTCACCAGAGACAGAGTGGGGAACAGAACATGCAGAGTGACTAAAATACACTGCTGAGGGTAGCAGCAGGTGAGTCAGGAGAGGTTTGCTGTGCCATGTGGGTAGCTCCCTGGCTGGGGATTGAACTCGTGCTGCAAGGCTGTGGATAGCTTCATAAGTTGCGTCTTAACCCCTTGTGCCACCATGGGAGGCCTGGTACTGCATTCTTAATGCTGGGCTGATACTCAAAATGCTTAGCAACAAGTGTCATATGGGTGCCAACCAACCAAAAAGGACAACTCTTGTGGCTAAAATGGTGCGTGGAAATTAAATATAAGCCCTATCTTGAAGCAGCACTGCTGGCCCCCTGCACTCTGGGCCATGCGCCACTTCCCTAGTTGTGCACTGTCCTAAACTATCCGGTTTTCACCCAAGTATACATGGTGGGGCTTTCAGATCATATCAGGGTTACAGTAAGAGTTTATCCTTGACGCAATCCCTGTAATCAAATGTAGTGGTAACTAAGGCCAGTGCCTGAGGCCCAGTTCTTTCTCGTTGATCGAGTTCACGGGATTCAGGAATATCTGTCTTTAACTGACTGAAGCTCTCTCCTGGGCCCGAGATCTTCCAGGCTCACACCACTGACTTGAGGAGATAAGAAAGCCATGGGTGAGCCAAGCCTCTCCGCAGAGGAAGAATCACTCAGAGCTTCTTCTCCTCCCTCCTCCTAACCTAGTGATGAATTAATAACACTGTGTTGAATGAGAACAACAGAAGATTTTCTTCCTCAGCTGTTGGCTCCAGCCTGCTTTCCCTTTTTGATGACTCACTGGTAGGTCCTTGATAGCTCAGATATAGCACTGGCCAAGTCAAACATGCACAGCACATTGATAGATCTGCTCAGGCAGGATTTGCAAGTACTTGCTTGGAAGCTGGCATGAAGGCTGAGGGCCCAGAGCTAACGACGGAGGTGGCCCTTCAGCATCGACATTTCAAATCGCCTTGCTGTCAATGCTGCTGCACAGGGACCAATCCTTACAAAAGAATCAAGGCTGCTTCTTTGTGCAAGATCCCTTGAAAAAGAACACCAGCTGCCATGGAAGCAGAGAGGAAATGGGACATGCCTACAAAAGTAATGTTTTTAGCCAGAAGATTGAAATTTGGGATGAGTTTATCAGTGGAATGTTGCATTTTGGCCGTGGCTCAGCTGTAGGAAGTGAAGGAGTCCTACATACACCCCACAGGGAAGGCAGAATGTATGCTTGGACTAGCATCCAGACTGTACAAAAATTGCTCATTAAGTGAGAGATAAGAATTTAGTGAAATTGAAAATATGGTTAATGTATGGCATGAGGAAAGACACAGTTAGGTAAGATGTAACTGGGGATGAAATGAGCATATTTGGAGTGGAACTTACACACGTGGGCTGTGGAAAGACATCCTCTCCTAGATGCTAAGGTCAGACTAGGAGCGACTCTGCAATAACTTTAATGGCTGCCTCTCCAGAACATTCCTTGCTGGCTTGCATTCCTTAATCCTTGGCCAGGGGTCACCCATCCCTCCCTCCCAGCTTGAAATCACCATCGTTTGCCTCACTTTGGCATATAGAACGGTGGCTTAAGAGAGGAGCTTTAGAAACTGGAAATGAACATATATGCATAAATCATTATTACTGTTATTTTCCAAAGGCTCCAGTTAAAATGCACACACTATCTTGAAAGTGGAGAGACGTGAGGATTATTTCCACTCAGTACTGTGGGCTTTAGTCTAGCAGTCTTTCTAACTGCCTCAGAAGTTAGAACTAGAGGACAGAAGTTTACAGTAGGGTAGGCTGAGGCCTGGGCCTCTCTTCCCCAGGATAATAAGACTCAATGACATGAGGAATAGAAGGGGGTGAGAGGAAGGAGGAGACCAAGGCAGGAGTCCCCCAAAATAGGTGGTTGGACTTCATGAAAGAGAAACCTTCCTGAAGGCTTTACATAATTCAAAATTTACATAGTTCAAGACAAATGTTCCAGCAGAAGTAAAAGTACAATGGGTATGTTCTTGGAGTACAAAAGTCTGCAAATACTGTTGTGCTGCCTTTTTGTTTTCTTAGCATTTTCTTTAACATTTTGAGAGAGTTCCTTCTTAAATTAACTGTATTCATTGGGACAGTTATTTTAATTCCTTCATCTTTAACTTCTGTTCCCAGGTTATTGATTTTTACACATATTCTTTAGCACCAACACTCCAGACCCCATCAAAAAGTATTTAGATGGTATTGTAGAATATAAAATGATTTCATATTAAAATAATAATAAATGTTAAATTGATCCCTGCAAATTGATCCCTAAGATCACACAAATAAGTTCCCAAACAACACCACAATTATTTTTTTCTTCAAAATGTCTTTGATTTGCCATTCATTTACAAAAATATGTGTTTGGATGTGTGACTTTATACCTCAACATAGAATACTTTAAACTGAGAAAACATAGTAGGGATTTCTGTGGTGGGGGAGGATTTCTTTTTATCTTCTTTTTTTTTTTTTTTAAGATTTATTTTATTTATTTATTTATTTATTTATTTATTTATTTATTTATTTATTTATTTATTTATTTATTTATACAAGCACTGGGTACAGTCAGAAGCGCGGGAGGGTAAGAGAATCCACCAGAGCCAGAGCGGGGAGCAGAGCAGGCAGAAGGACCGAAGTACACTGCTGAGGGGAGCAGCGGGCGGCAGGAGAGGTCTGCGCACCATGTGGGACCCTCCTCTGGTGGCCGGGGAGCAGCCGGGGATCGAACTGGCGCTGCAGAGGCTGCGGGCAACTTCGCAACCCAGCGCTCAACTGCTGCGCCACCGGGGAGACCCTCTTTTTATCTTCTAAGAGTGTATGTGTCATAAGGAGAGAATATCTTTCACTTGCTTCAACAGCTATAAAATCACAAGACTTTGGTGACTTCCTAAAATTAAGAGACTTAGTTGACCTTACTTCAAAATATAAATATAAGATGGGACTATTAATTCTTTCATTAGCAAACCATTTTAAATCTGCATGTTTCAAATTTGTTTATTATCTTCCAGGCTATGTGACTCCCACTTAGTGCATGGATCTATTTTAGATCATTGGAAATAGGTCCTGCAAAGAGGCCAGGTCCACCCTTACCTTACTTACCATCGCTGCATTTCCTGCTCACCACTCCAAGAATTGTTTTTGAATTACCAACATTATACATGTTTTTGTAAGATTGCAATAACATGTTTTATGAGGCTACCACTCTTCACAATTTAGTGAAGCTTTTCTCAGGGTGTACATGCCCTTCAACATTTGATTATATAGCATCTTCTGCACAGATAAGACTTGTGCTAAGTGCACCGGCTGCCACTCTCCAAAATCACTATTTTTCCTAATCAAGCCTTAATTGTCTTCGTTTAGATCCGCATCTGGGCCCGGAAAGATGCCATCGCAAATGGAAATGCAGACTTTGCTTTGAACATCACAGGCCCAATCTTCTCTTTTCTGGAAGATTTATTCAATATTAGTTACCCTCTTCCAAAAACAGGTGAGAAAAAAAAAGTAAACAAAAGCAAGTAAGGCGTGTTCCCTTCTAATGCAATGAATTTCCTATTAAGGGGACCTTGAGATAAGTTCAAAGGGCACCCAGAGTGGAGACCCTTCATCACCATTTACCATTTAGCTACTGTTTTTTAGTTTTTAAAGATTTATTTATACAAGAACAGGGGTACAGGCCAGGTGTGCGGGAGGGTGAGAGGATTCACCGGAGACAAAGTGGGGAGCAGAACAGGCAGACTGACGAAATACACTGCTGAGAGAAGCAGCGGGTGAGACAGGAGAGGTCTGCCATGCCATGTGGATTTCTCCCTTGCTGGCAGGGGATCGAACCTGTGCTGCAGAGACTGCGGACAACTTCACAGTGCAGCGCTCAATCACCTGCACCACCAGGGAGGCCCCTGTTTTTTCCTTTTTAAAGATTTATTTATTTATGAATTCAAGAGCTGAGGTACAGGTTAGAGGCGCAGGGGGTGAGAGTATTCATCAGAGACAGAGTGGGGAACAGAACAGGCAGATCTACTGAAATACACTGCTGAGGGGAGCAGCGGGCAAGTCAAGAGAGGTCTGCTGCACCATGTGCGTATCTCCCTGGCCGGGGATCTGACTCCTGCATGAAGCTTCATACTGCTGACACTTAACCCCTTGCACCACCAGGGAGGCCCACCATTTATCTACTGTTTGGAGTTAGTCTCCTGGCCTTCCATCCCCTGACTAACACAGGGCCTCCCAGCTGCACTTTCTCTTTATAGTGCCAGGCTCCTGGCAGGTCTGGGAGAACTTTCCGTTTTCCATCCCTCCTGACTACCATCGCAGCCTCGCATCCTCCTGAAACTGCTTTCTCTCTTGTCTCCTGTGCTTTTCTCTCGTAGCACAAGGGTTCAGTGCAGCATTTTAATGGGCCTGTGTGAGTCGCCCCAGTTCCCTTTAGTAAGTTTTTATTTTTATTTTTTAATATTCTTTAGCTGTGAGTCATTGGATTAGTGCTTGGGGGTCCCATCTGTGAATTTTCGTTGTATAAAATTGGAATCATGTGTGAACATAATATGATCCTTGAGGAAATATGTAAACATTTTATCTCGCATAGATTTGTACGGTATGTCCTTAAAATTGTGTAAGCCACTCAGCTCAGAAAGTTGTTCTGTGTTTTTCTCTCTAAATTGAGGCTATCATGTAAATGGATTTTGTTCCCTTGAAATGTTAGCTGAAGTCATGGGAAAAATATGCTCAGCCTATGCTGGCGGATGGTGGAAGACTGGGTACTGAACATTTAGGGGCTCAAGCCTCCTGAACTCCAGGAAGCCAGGAGCTCTGCAGCTCCAGTCTTTTGGCCAAGGAACAATAGAAAATGAAGAAATAGAACCAGTGTTGGCCCATTCTAGGAACTCAAAGGCACTACTGTCGGTTAGAGAGTTGGAGGCTGCAGGACCCTGGGCTTGGAGACCAAATTTGTGGCACTTCTGTGTATGGAGGATCTCAAGATGGCCCTTGTCTAGGCAAGAAAAATTCCATTTGTCTTTGTTCAGCGTAACAATTCCTGACTTATCCTTAATGACCTGTTCCTTCAAATCACCTCCTCCCTCCAATTAGCCTCCTCCTTAGTATCTCCTGCATGTGTTCATTTCTTCCCAGGCCTATAGTTTCTCCCTAACTTACATCACAACATCTGTAACACAACAGCCTTCCCCTGACTGCCTCCATTCTGTCTCTCACACTGAAACCAGAGGATCTTTCCAAAGAAAAATCTGATCATGTTGCTGTTCTCTTTAAGACCTCTCTGTGGCCTCCCTCTGAGCTGAGGTCAAGACCAGACCCCATACTCTGCCTTTGTAACAGTGTTTTTCTTTTCCGAAGCTCTCAGGGCTTCTGCTAATTCTTCAGAGAGGGAAGGGTGTGCCAGTGCCATCTCTGTCCACTTTTACACGTTTATCTTCCGCTCCTCTCCCCTAGGCTTGTACACTTGCAGTTTGCCATCCTAAATGCCTTCTACTCAACTGGTTAATTTTTTAAAATAAAGTCTTTATTTTTCAAAATGTAGTGTTGGTGGGAAATGGTTATGCATCTTCACAAGGAGCTGGGACAGCTCCACCCTTGGTGTTTCTAGTGGATGTTACTTGAGCCTTGTGTCTTGAAACCAGGGGAATAAGCTCTTTACTAAGGAGCGCCTGACGGGCTGCCCTGGCCAAGGAGCCCTGGATTTTGAGCCTTTCAGATCCAGCAGCTGCGGTTATATGTAGGAATTTCCTTATGGATTTTGTCATATGTGGCTCTGTCAAACAAGACTAATTTTTTGAGTTTGTCCCGAACTTTGCCTTTTTTACCACTTCCTTTTGGCCTTGCCCTTAGATTTGTTCACTGGATCTTTCTCTTTTCTTTTTTTTAAAGATTTATTTATTCATGCATACAAGAACTGGGGTACAAGTCAGAGGTGCGGGGGGTGAGAGGATTCACCAGAGACAGTGGGGACCAGAACAGGCAGACTGACTGAAACACACTGCTGAGGGACCAGCGGGCGAGACAGGAGAGGTCTGCCGCTCCATCTGGGTATCTCCCTGGCTGGCCGGGAATCAAACTTGTGCTGCAGAGGCTGTGGACAGCTTCACAGCGATGTGCTTAACCCCTTGCGCCACTGGGGGTGGGGCCAGATCTTTGTCTTTCTTGGCTAACTTTCTGGCATCTTTCTACCTTTCGTCTTGTAGTCCTTGGGTAGCATCAAGAAGTTCACTGAGCAGCAGCTACCACGGCAGCCTTGCTAAGATATTGACAAACAATAAAAAGCTCAACTGGTTCTACAATGTGCACTTCTTGTAAGTTCCTACTGAGTGCTGCTGCTGCTGGTTTGGGAATCACAGTATGAGTTAAGTGTAGTGTTCTAAAGTAGGGACTGTGAAGCTATCAACTCTGGCCCTTGCCAATTTTTTGCATGTCCCATGACATACAAATGGTTTTCCACTTTAAAGTGGTTTTTGAAAACCAAAGAAGAATGTTTCGTGACTCATGAAATTCATATAAAATTCAAATTTCAGAACCCATAAAGTTTTATTGAATATGCAAAAGAAAACATAGAGCCCCACAAAACCAGAACTATTTACTATCTGGTTCTTTATAGAAAAATATGTCCCAGCCCCTGTGCTAAGTGTAAATAATGGATGCATGGAGGTTTATGTTATCAATAATTTAAGGATTTAATCATGAAAATAAAATAAACAGGACCCTGTGTGAATGAATGATAGCTCATCAAGAAACAAGAATTTTGCTTACCCCAATGCTTTTCATCTGAAGTAAAAAAAAAAAAATGTATTTTAAATATTCATCAGGTTTAATAAGAAATGACTTCTTAGAACAGGTGAGATTGGTGGCATTCCCTGGGGGAGGGAAGGATTTCCTGGGAGACCAAGGAGTTCTCACAGAGGAAGTTTCTGTGATTGCAGAGAACAAAACAGAGAACAAAGGGCATTGTCTTGGGTGCAGCAGAGCAGTCTTTCTTTTTTTAAGATTTATTTATTTATTTATACAAGCACTGGGCACAATCAGAAGTGCAGGAGGGTGAGAGAATTCACCAGAGCCAGAGCGGGAAACAGAACAGGCAGACTGATGAAATACACTGCTGAGGGGAGCAGCGGGCGCAGAAGGAGAGGTCTACGTGCCATGTGGGACCCTCGCCAGCGGCCGGGGATCGAACCGGTGCTGCAGGAGCTGTGGACAGCTTTGCAATTCAGCGCTCAACCACTGTGCCACCAGGGGAGGCCCAGCAGAGCAGTCTTTTGTGAGGAAAGCGGGCGGGATGGATACAGGTGGAGGAAAGGAAGGGTAGAAGTATGGGATAGACAACTGAGTTTGCCCAAAATTAATATAACAGCACTAACTGGCAGAGGCTATGTGATGACCTGGGTACTTTACCATACACGTCCACTTCAACCATGTGTAAGGTCAGCCTCAGTGATTTGACACAGCAAAACATAGAACATCATGAGACCAACATGGCATGGATTATAAGAGTGATGTTTCTTCCATTAGCAAAAGAAAATAAACAAAACTTTTTCTTTTGGGCCTCCCTGGTGGCGCAAAGTGTTCAGTACCACAATGTGCACTTCTACAATGTGCACTTCTTGTAAGTTACTACTGAGTGCTGCTACTGCTGGTTTGGGAATCACAGTATGAGTTAAGTGTAGTGTTCTAAAGTAGGGACTGTGAAGCTATCAAATCTGGCCCTTACCTATTTTTTGCATGTCCCATGACATACAAATGGTTTTCCCACTTTAAAGTGGTTTTAAAAACTAAGGAGCAATTGCAGCCTCTGCAGCACGAGTTCGATCCCCTGCTGGCCAGAGAGCTACCCACATGGCACAGCAGACCTCTCCTGACTCGCACACTGCTCCCCTCAGCAGTGTTTCAGTTGGTTTGCCTGTTCTGTCCCCAACTCTATCTCCGGTGAATCCTCTTACTCCCCCTCCCCCCGCACATCTCTGGCCTGAACCCCAGGTCTTGTATGAATAAATAAATCTTTAAAAAAATAAAATCTTAAAAAAAACCTTTTTCTTTTAGCTTTTACAAAGTAATAAATAGTCACATTATAGAAATTTTTAGAAAATAAGGAAAAGCACAAAAAGAAAAGAAAAATTCTCCTAGAATGCTACCCCTCAGAGATAGTCACTGCTGATAGTTTGGCGTGTATTTTCCCAACGTCTGTGTTAGTTTTAATCTCTGCCTTTCTCTGTATTTGCATCTTTGTTGTTAACAAAAATGACACCATATGTTTAAGATAGGCAATGCCTACTTATCCATTTGACAAATTAATTTATTGAATCCTCTGTGGTTCAAACTTCGCACTGATTCCACACTTTTTGGAGTTACTTAAAAAAACTAAAGGAAACGTCAGGAGATGTGTGCAAATATCCATGCTTATTTATCCAAATAAGCATTTTGCTATTGCTCCAGAAAGATTGCCGCAGTCCACACCCTCACCAATAGCACATGGCAGTTCTCCTGCACCTAATTGTTAACACTAACAACAACCAATACTGTTGTAGTTACCAAACTTATATCTTTGAAACCATTGTTATGTCATTGTTTCAAGATTTGTTTTTGATGACTAGTAAAGTTGAGCAATTTAAATAAGATTTCTTGGCTTTTGAATTATTTCTTTAGAGATTTATTCACATTTTTGTTTTCTCTTTGTGGCTTGCAGAGCCCTTTCAATATTAAAAAAAAAATTATCTAGTTGTTTGCGCTGCAGATATTCTCCCTTGTTTATTAGGTCTTCAAATTTATATACAGTCTTCTGGGGAGCTAAAATACTTAATTAAAGTAGACTTTATTTTTTTAAGCAGTTTTAGGTTTACAGAAAAATTGTACAGAAAGTATAGAGAGTTCTAGTGTACCTCTTCTTCCTCCCTTCCCTTTGACTGCTGCTATCATTCTGCATTAATGTGAGACATTTATTACAATAGTTGAAATAATATTGACACATTATTATTAACTAAAATCCATAGTTTACATCAGGATTTACTTTCTGTTGTATAGTTCTATGCATTCTGACAAATGATAATTTACTAATAGATAATTACAGTAGCATAGTTCCAATCCTATGCTTTGTTCATTCTCCTCCCCAAATTCCTGACAACACATATATGTATGTGTATATGTGTTTATATATGTATGTATTTATGCATGTGTGTATATGCATGTGTGTATACACACACACACACACATATATATTCTCTCTTTTTAGTTGCACTTTTTCCATAATGTTATATATTTGGAATCATACCATGTGAAGCTTTTCAGGTTCACTGCTTTTACTAAGCCATATGCGTTTACTTCCTCTATGTAATTTCACAACCTGATAGCTCATTCCTTTTCATCATTGACTAATACTCTACTGCATGTACTTTTTAAAAAAGTACTATATTCCCAATAAAAAAACAATTATTCAAAAAGTGGGACAGTGAATAAAAACAAGGAAAGGTCTGTGTAAATAGATTCTGGGTGAATTTGTACTGTTTGATGGATCATAGTGATGAGAATTTACAGCCCATTCAAGGTTCAGGTATTTATATTTGAAGATTGACTTGACAAAGTTCTCTTTGTCTACCCTGTCACCTATTGAAGGCTATCTTGGCCACTCCCATTTTTGGCAATTACAAATAAAGATGCTATAAACATTTGTGCACAAGCTTCTGTGTGAACATAGGTTTTCTACTCATTTGGGTAAAGAGTTTAGAACTCAACTGGTAGACTAAATGGCAAACCTATGTTTAGCTTTGTAAGAAACCGCTAAACTGTTTTCCTAAGTGTTCTACCATTTTGTCATCTTAAAAGCAATGAATCCAAGTTCCTGTTGCTCCACATCTTCTCCAGCATTTGGTGCTGCGTTCTGGCTTTTAACCTTCATTTCAGTTTGTAGAGGTATCCCGCTGATCTTTTAATTTGCAATTTCCTAATAACATAAGATAAGGTGTTGAATATCTTTCATATAGTCATTTGCCATTTGTATGTCTTCTTTAGGGTCTATTTAAATCTCTTGCCCATTTTGTAATTGAGGTTATTTTTTTTTTAATTGTTGAGTTTTTAGAACTTCTTTCTGTATTTTGGCTATAGGTCCTTTCTAGAAAATTCTTGATTTCTTACATGGTCAAAACCAATTTATTTTCTGGCTTCTGTCTGATATTAGTCTTTAAAGCCTACTCTCCTCTCTGATGATAATTATTCACTTGCATTTTCTTTCAGTAATTATGTGATTTCATCTTGAGAGATTTATAACTGGAAATCTCAAATATTTTTGAAGAGATGATTTCATTTCTCCCTCCATTTAACTCCACTTAGATATAATTGCCTTGCCTAATTTTGACAACCGTGCAATGGAAAATTGGGGACTATTGATATTTGATGAATCATTATTATTGCTGCTACCAAGTGATCAACTAACAGAAAAAAAGGCTGTGATCTCCTACATTGTCTCTCATGAGATTGGACATCAGGCATGTGGTAAAATGTTCTTTTTTTATTTTACGTGAAGATACTTTCCAGCTGCTCTACCAAAAATAGCAAATTTCTTTTAAAGTACTATATTCCAAACGAAAAAACAATTCTTCAAAAAAGTAGAACAGTGAAAAAAAACAAGGAAAGGTCTGTGTAAAAAGATCCTGGGTGAATTTGTGCTATTTGATGGATCATAGTGATGAGAATTTACAGTCCATTCAAGGTTCAGGTATTTGTATTTGAAGATTGACTTTACAAAGTTCTCCTTGGGGAAAGTAAACCAAGCAGAGGTATGATAATTTGTTTTACATACTTTTTAAAATAAGGAATCTTCAGAAAAGGTAGATGTGAAAGATATCCATGTTTCTTCAGCAGACTGTTACAAACTGGTTTTTTTTATTCCGGATAATGGCAAAGGGAGGCAAGTATATTAGCAGCAAGGTGAGTGGCAGAAACAAGTATTTGGTTTTTTATGCGTTTATTTATCTACATTTTAAAAGGACAGGTGTATTATGAAAAGGAGAAAAAGACAGGCACCTGCATAGTCACAAGCGGGTAGGATTGCTGATAACCAAGAATTGATTTTATTAGATCTGCGCGCTTTCACACTATGATTTTAGAAGTTTAGCTATTTGACTTGATGGATTTTCTTCCATTTATATCTTTGTTTAAAAATTTTAAAAGGGCCTCCCTGGTGGTGCAAGGGGTTGAGACACAACCTATGAAGCTGTCTAAAGCCACTGTATCACAAGTTTGATCCCCAGCCAGGGAGGTGACCCACATGGCACAGCAGACCTCTCCTGCCTTGCCTGCTGCTCCCCTCAGCAGTGTTTTTCAGTCAGCCTGCCTATTCTGTTCCCCACTCTGTCTCTGGTGAATCCTCACCACCACCACCCCCCACCCTGCGCCTCTGGCCTGTATCCCAGTTTTTGTATGCATAGAAAATAAATCTTTAAAAAAAATTTTTTTAAATACTTATTTATGCATAAAAGAACCGGAGTATAGGCCAGAGGTGTGGGGAGGGAGGGGTGAGAGGAATCACCAGAGACAGAGTGGGGAGCAGAACAAGCTATTGAAATGCACTGCTAAGGGGAGCAGCGGGCAAGACAGGAGAGGTCTGCTGCGCCATTTGGGTCAGATCCCTGGCCGGGAATCGAACCCATGCTGCAGTGGCTGCTGATAGCTTGACAGTGCTGAGACTTTACCCCTTCTGCCACCAGGAAGGCCCACTTCCATCTATATTTTGATCTCTATTAATACAAATTTGTCAAGCAAAAAAGCATGTGAATTAGGAAACTGCTATTTTCTTCTTATGTAAATCCATAAGATGTTTTGGGAAAGAGTGAATTTCCAGGGTAGAATAGTGCCCCATTACTAGGTCAACACATACTTTCACAAGTTTTGATTAGTTACCCAAAGTGTCATCTTTTATTATATCCTAAGTGACACATTGTTTTGGAATACAGGCTGCTAACTATTAAGTACATCACAGCTGTTATAAGAATTCGGTAAAATAGTAGGGTGTGGATTTGTTGGTTTTGGAAATTATTGTGGTTTTCTTTCCTGATTCTATTCATCATCATTTTGACACTTTCTTTCTGTTCAGCTGAAATAGAAAATAATTATAGTTGAACCACATAGCAGAACATATGATTACTTTAGTGATTTATACATGGTGCATATCAAGTCATGTTTTTAAAACATAACTGCTAGCAACAAAATCCAGTTGTGTTCTGTTCAGAGTAGAAGGTGCTGGCATTTGTAGGGGTTAAGTGAACATTCAGTACTTTTGCTGTATTTGACTCAATTTAACTTTTGGACAAAATGGATAGTTTTAGAAATGTTACTCTAACTTATGTTATTTGCAAACATCACAATTTTAAAACAAAACATTGTTTTCAATCATTGGATGTTAAATAGTTATTTCAGAGAAATGCATAACTGATCCTCTCTTCATATTGAAACAACATGTTTTTTTGGACTCCTCAAGTTTTGTTATTGATAGAAAATAAAGTTTATTTTATGTCTTTGATCTTACATTTATTTGACATGCAATTACAATAAATAGTACTTTAATTGAAGAAAACTTCTTTTCTCCCATCTGCAAAAGTGGTTTGGAAACTTGGTTACCATGAATTGGTGGAACAATATCTGGCTCAATGAAGGTTTTGCATCTTATTTTGAGTTTGGAGTCATTAACTACTTCAATCCCAAACTCCCAAAAGTAAGTATGTCTGTTAAATTTATTGTAATTTATTTCTCCTAATTATAAAAGTGATGCACATTCATTGTTGAAAATGAGTGAAATACAGAAAAATAGAAGGAATACATCTTGCTTGTAATATCAGAGATGTTAGCATTATCATTTTGTCTTTTTCTTCTTCCAGGCATTTACTTGTTATAACTATTCATTAAAGTGGAAATTATACATAATAATTCCTGTTTTATCATTGCCATTTCCATAAATCATTAAGTCATTTTTGAAAACAAGATTTTAATGGCTGACATACTTTATTCCATCAACTTATAATGTATTTGTGTATATATGTAATTTTTCCATGTGTTAGATTTTAGGTTATTTTCACTTATACCTATCTAGACTAAATTTTAATGCAGTGATATTCAGCAGTCTATGACTTTAATGATAACATGCTGCATTATGTACATTGCAGATATATTGTTTCATATAAGATATAGCTGTTATTTATTAATACCTGTACAAATATGTTATACTGAGATTGTTTTGCTGTTTTGAGTAAATAATAATACTTAAAAGTAAATTAGTGGATATGCAAATCTGATTATTTTGACTGTAAGTTATACTTTGGATAATTTATTTAGAATTATTAAGTCATGCTTTCAAAATGGCATGATAAAGCCACACTGATTTTATTTTATTTGGTTAATTAAATGTTTAGACTTAATATCATCTCTTGACACAGACATCACTTTGTATAGCAAATCAGAGGTCTCCCTTAGCCCCACTTCCTCCTGTTTCAGCTTCCTGTCCTCTCTGTGTGGGGCTTGAGGCTCGTGCTCCACTCTGCTGGCCTCTTCCGGCTCATCTCACCTCCCAAGTGTTTCCAATCCTCGTTTCTTGGCCTCTTTCCTCGCCCCACTACCTGCATGCATTCAAAGAGTTTATTGCTATTGAAATACACATCTCCACTGACCAGACCTTCCTTACAGGCTGTTTGCTCACTTTGAGGAGATGCTAAAAATTTATTCTTTCTATTATATTGGTGGTAAAATTTTAATTTTATGAAATGATGGAGATTGCCAATAGATGATTTGTTCTTCATTGATTTTTTGATAGTAGAAAAAGTTGACAAAGCTTTCTTGACTCTACAGAAACTTAAAAAAAAAAACAAAACACATTTTTACCTGTTTGTGAAATTGCATTTTCTGGGAAGTTCTGCTACAGCAGCCTCTTAACACCCCAGTTCCATGCCACACTGCCTACACTTTGCAGGTATCCTATAAAATGCCTGGCTCTAGCAGTCAAGCCTCTATTGTACCTCTGCTTTTCCCTCCCTGGATATGCAGAGACACATGTTTGTCCCAAAGGGGAGCTTAGACATCATTGTATAGATCAGGAGAATTAAGAATTGAAAGGTTAAGTAACTTGCCCAAGGTCGTTTTTCCAATGAGGAAAGAACAGTGACTGTAACCCAGTTGTCCAGGCTTAGTCTGGTGATGCATATCATGACAATAAAAACAATAATAATATATTGCCCATTCACTGAACTTTTCGGACTTAAGTGTCAGTCAGTGGGAATTCTTTACATATATCATCTTAAAGAATCTTCAGAGCAGTAGCAGGATGTAGTTATTGTGGAGACTGAGGCATAGAAACATTAAGTCATCCAAGGCTTCACAGCTATTAAAGTCAGAGATGAGATTCAGTTCCAGGTTTTTCTGACTGCAAAGCCCATTATTTAATCTCCTATACTCTGCAGAGAAGGTGTCCGGGAGTGTTCTTGGCCTCATGGAGTGTGTGTTCTTTATACTGGTCTTTTTTTATATGTTAAACTTATTACATAGAATAAATATCTGTTGTCCTCAAAAGTCCTTTCTATATACTCTGGTATTTACCAAATTGTTTATATTTCTCTTTTATAAAACAAAATCTACACGTGGTCAGGGTAGCTGTTTCTGAAAGTGTTTGGTTGTATCCTTAATTAACTCCATGCTTAGAGTCAATAACGAAAGACATTCGATTCCCATATCATGATTAAGTTTACCCTCTATTTTCTTAATTGAATAGAACATATCATTAACATCAATCAGTTACCTCAGTGCAACTAAAATACCTAAGATATTCTCATATCTGAGAAAACTCGATGAAAACATATTACTGATGATTGTAAGGTTAGCTTCTTTCTGCAGCATTTAGTTATTTCTTTTTAACATTACTCTTAATCACTCTTTTGAATCTGCATGTCTCGGTTACTGGTGGAGCTGAATGGATATACCCTTGCCAAAAGAGCTTCAGAGCCCATTGCTTGAGGAAATGGCATTGGGTGAACTTTGTTTTTAAAAAGCTTAAGGCCCTGTTTCAATGATCTTTGAAACGTCAAGAACTTTGGCTTCCTTTAATCTAATAGATTGAAATTGAGTAAGAGAATCACAGAACCACATGCAGTAACATATTTGCATTTTTTTTCTATGTCTTGCTCTAATTGCAACTGAAAGTCATTAAAACATTAGCTGAGTGACTCAGCGTTAAAGACCAATCGCTTTCTTGGCCCCTGAAACTCCAGCTCTGCATTGCTACTCACTGATGTTTCTCTGTCTTTCTCTTGGTCTCAGGAAGCAGCAGACTTGGTGGAGGGAAAGGCTCGTGGGCACTTTTCAGCCAATTAGATCTTCCTCTTTTCTGATCATTGTAGTTGAAGAAAACAGTCAAACATTTACTTGTAAGCTTTTGTTCTTCATCTATGAAATAAGTTTCATTAAAGTCATTCAGCCTGTTTTTATCAACCAGGAGCTGTTATGATAATGGTCATTTACTAAGCACTTGTTATGTGCTTGTAGAGTATTCTATACATTATCTGATTCCATCTTCATAGCAGCTCTGCAGAAATAGTAAGAACAATGTTAACAAGTTGTCTCAGCAATGACTTTAAACCTTGTTGAGCATTGCTATCTGCCAGGCACGGTGTTAGGAACTTTATGTAAATTAATTCAGCCCTGATATTAATCTAATGAGGACACTGTTGCTTCCCCCCAATTTCAGATGGTGAAACTGAGTTTCAGGGAGGTCAAGTTGATTGCCTTTCATAGGTCACATAGCTGCTAAGAGCCTGAGATTGCATTCAAACCCAGGTAGCTAGACTCCACAGCCTGTGCTTTTAACCACAGTGGTATTCCATGTACAGTTATCATAGTGGATACTGTTCTATTTCTTCATATAACAATGGGTTTAATAGAAATAGGCCTTATTTTCTGAGATCTCACAGCTTATAGGAAGAAGGTGATGGTGTGTACAAATCCACTTTATCCAATCACTATATGTGATGGCTAGATACATTTTTAAAAACTGTCATCATTTTTTTATGTAGTGATTCCCTCCACCAGGGCTGGGACAGGCTGGGACAAACACGACCTACTTAGGGGAATAGAAGGACTTCCGGGATGCATGTTATGTGCATGTTATGTGATGTCTGGGATGCATGCTTCATTCATTGCAGTTATCTTGTGTGATTTCTATGATACCAAGATTATGTGAAACTTATACCAGACAGCAGAAGAGATACAGACAATCCATCCTGAGGGAAAGTAAACCACAAAATATGGGAAAGGATTTATGTATGGAAGTGTTCATTAAAACTCTATTATATATAGCAAAAATCTGGAGGCAACTTAAATCCCTAACTAATAGGGAATTGATTATGTCAGTTATGGTCTGTTGACCTATACTGCTATGCATTTATTTATTTAAATGTTTCACTTTTGCAAAAGTTGTAACTGTTATTCTTTGAAAAGAAGAAAGTCATCTGTGATTTGATTACCCTGTAATAATCACTGTTAAGTTTTTTCCCTTCCAATTTATTCCAATCATTAATAGGGATAGTTATAAAGATGAGATGCAAAATGTTAATATGAATGGTATTACAAGCTAAGCAGGAGAGAAAGTTTTTACAACTGTGAGAATAAATAAATACATAGAAAAGAAGATGGGAATGAGCTGAACTAATATGATTTTTTTTAATTAACATAGGTTTACAATACTGTAAGTTTCAGTTGTATGGCTTCATACATTGGCATCTGTATGTACCACACCACACCTACCAGCAAAGGTTTAGTTACCATCCAACACCATCCATTTGACCTCCTTTGTTTTACCCTCTGCCCCCAATTCCCCTGCCCCTCTGGTAATCACCATTTTGTTGTCAGAATCTTGTACTAACCATGGAATGATGGCAACCTAAGAGTACGGTATTATGACTGTCTCTTATTCATTTTCTGCATTTGCTTATGTGACACACTAGTCAACAATGAGACCCTTACAAGAATTCTTGAGTGTTAAATTTATAAAACGTATCTTTAATGAATGAATAAGATCAGACTTATGCAAATGTCTCCTCTAAGCCCTTGCTGCTCCAAGTGTTTCTCAAACCAGCAACATCTGCATCATCTGGTAGCATATGTGAAATATAGGCCCCCATCCAGATCAACTGACTTACAATAATCCTCAGGTGATCCTTACTCACATTCAAGTTTGAGATGCATTGCTGTAAACAACAGACTTTCTCATCTCTAGAAGAGCACAGTTGAATAATAGCCTCATCACTGATATTAATAAATCTAAAAATAATATGCTAATAGGATGGGGTTGATTGGAACACTGGCAAATGCAAGTGGGGAAGAATTTCAAGGTTTATCTGTCACTACTAAGGAATCAAAGAATCAATGGGGAGCTGGAGGGAGGTTCCCCCAGCTTTCCAGGGTAGGAGCTAGCTCACTCTGCAGCTTCTCCACTGCCCTCTCTTCTGCTCTGTCATCCCACACACCTCCTTAGCTAGGCATTGGTTTACATCTAGCTTTCCTTCAGGGAGAAATAGTCTTTGCTTGAGTCTAAGAGAGCTCAAGCCTTTCAGAGAGTTCTGTACTTGGATTAAAAGATAATGAACTGCCTTCTCATAATGTACAAACTATAAACTATAGTGTCTAGTCTGTGGATTTATTTCCAATTACAAATTATTTCATTGGCATCCTTGTGTGTTTGTAAATCGGGCAGGCCTTTGGTTTGTAAATGTCCTTAAAAAAGAGATCAATTTTAAGGGGTGGCTCATAAAATTACCATCACAATCCTAGAGGATTAAACCACCCAGAGATGGTATTCCTTGAAGGGCCCCTTTGGGTTGCTAGGGACTTCTTTATGCGAAATGTAGATTACTTCCTGGGAAACCACATTAGCTCTCATAATTGATTTTTTAAAATTTGAAGTAAAAAGAGATATCAAATGGGAAATAACCTAGAGTTTTATTATTCCAGGAGTCCTGATTTCTTTGGCAGATTGCAATTCCCAGCTCACTTCCCTGTTATTATTTTTCTTTAATGTCAGTTTTTGAAAGTATTTTAGAAACATTGACTTCAGTGTTTCTGCAATACCTCAGAAGATAATATGGTCACTCTTTTCCTTTTAGAATGAGGTATTTTTTTCAAATATTTTGCATGGTGTACTCAGAGAAGACCACGCCCTGGTGTCTAGAGCTGTGTCCATGAAGGTGGAAAATTTCACAGAGACAAGTGAAATAAATGAACTCTTTGACTTATTTACTTACAACAAGGTAAAGTTAATAATAGATTTCCATTTGCCCTGAATTCTTGCAGAAAGTTGCATAAAATGGATTTTAAGGGCCATAAGCTAATGTGTTATTCTGTCACCTCTGATACAAGTCACCTTATTTTTATTCAGTGGATGGATTTCAGAAAATGTAGTTAAATCACTTCTCTTCAAGCACATATGAGCCAAGTCTATAATAAGTGCTCAGTACTTTCCACTATTATAAATAGACTTAACTTGCTACTTTAAGGGCAAATCCTTCAGTTTGGTGGAAATTTACTTCTAATATATAAATATCTCAAGTAAAAATTTTGTGTAGCCTCAACTTTTCATATGTAGGACATTAGTTTTCCTTCTATCTGTTAATTACTGACAGTCTATCATTTTGCTAGCATATTTTGGAGTAATCCAAAATTCAACTAAAATGCACTGTGCACTCAAGAGCACAGCCCAGAGTATTGCTAATCAAAATGGAATGTATCAATCTTTTGTATTGAATTTTGTTCAAATAATGTTCAGCTTCTTCTGTCTTAGGGAGCTTCTCTGGCCCGAATGCTTTCTAGTTTCCTGAATGAGAACTTATTTATCAGCGCACTTAAGGTGAGTCTATGAAATCATTGTGACCTGAAAGGCATACTTGCCCAGGTGTGTATTTATTTTAACCATTACTTTTCTACTTTTACAGTCATATTTGGGTGCATTCTCTTACTCAAATGCTGAGCAAGATGATCTGTGGAGGCATTTTCAAATGGTAATTGTCCTACTTCCTAACACGATTTTGCAAAGTTGTTTTTTTTTTTTATTTTTTTTTTTTTAATAAATTTTATTGTTATATTCCCCATACAATTGCAGCCCCCCCATTCTGACCCCAATCCCTCCCCTCCCACCCCTGCCCCCCTAAAAGTGTCTCTGGTTCATAGTTTTTTGTTGATTTTGATTTTCACTTTCTTATAGTTATTCATTTTCCTGGTCCCTTATTTAAGTTTTCTAGATTCCTGCTATGAGTGAGACCATCCGGTATTTTTCTTTTTCTTTTTGGCTTATTTCGCTGAGCATGATCCCTTCCAGCGCCATCCATGTTGCTGCAAATTGCATGTGTTTATCTTTTTTGAATGCTGAGTAATATTCCATGGTATATATGTACCACATCTTCTTGATCCAGTCATCTATTTTTGGGCATTTGGGTTGTTTCCAAAGCTTAGCTATTGTAAACAGTGCTGCTATAAACATAGGGGTGCAGGTGTTCTTTGGAATTGATGTTTTATATGAACAAGCACAACAATATGGAGAGGCTGTGGGGGTATTGCTGTGCTGCTGGAAAAGAGTTTTGCCTTGTTTGTGAAACTTTCTTATGTCTGGGGTTGTTTTCACCACAGTTTTCCTGGTGCCCAGAACAGACCCTGGCACACAAATACATGATTCATAGATGTGTTCAGTGAATGAGTGAACTAAGGGACAGAGTTCTGAATTAGGTCCAGAATATCCCCTGCTGGGAATTCCTATCTACTGTACATGCGGAATAGAATAGTGATGTAGTTTCTTTCAGCAGATTGCTACCTCAAAAGATTTTGATGATAAACGTCTGCTTTTGTGATGCTTTTTTAAAACAGGCCATAGATGACCAGAGTAAAATTCTTTTGCCGGCAACAGTGAAAAGCATAATGGACAGTTGGACGCACCAGAGTGGTTTTCCAGTTATCACCTTAAATGTATCCACGGGTATCATGAAACAGGAGCCTTTTTATCTTGGAAAGGTTAAAAATCAGACTCTTCTACCCCACAAGTAGGTAGATTTGCTCCCCTGTCTACACCTTTGCTGGGGTTGAACTCTGATCTAGTGGAACCCAGTCTGTGGGTGAGGAAACGTAACCCTCCTGGGTACACCCCTATATGCCAGTGACACTGGGGTGGTGCCTGGAATGAGGAGAATACCCAACGGTGCTGGGGGGAGGGGAGCACCCAATGTCCTAAGCAAGGCCAGAGTGCTGACTCTCCCCTGAGGTTTCAGGTCACAAAAGAGGCAAAGCATTAGGTGTTAGGTATCTCCCTTGTCCTACTGGAGAGGCCGTGAGATGGATTTGGGGATGGCCCCATGGTAAGAGAAAAGGGTCCCCACTACAAGTTCCACTTCTCATCCCTAGAAATAGAAACTCATGGTAACAGCATGCTTGGGGAACAGTTCTGTCCAAGTCCACACATATCTATAATAGAACCATGACTCCCTTAACCAGGGTTCAAATATCAACTTCAAAAAATTCAAACCTGGACCCTCCTACGTGGCCTACGGTTTAAGTCTCAGCTCCAGCCTGAGTTTGATCCCCAGCCAGCCAGGGAGCTGACCTACATGGCATAGCAGACCTCTCCTGTCTTGCCCACTGCTTCCCCTCAGCAGTGTATTTCAGTGAATCTGCCTGTTCTGCTCCTCACTCTCTCTGGTGATTCTTCTCATCCCCCTGTGCCTCTGTCCTGTACCCCAGTTCTTGTATGCATAAATAAATAAATATTTTTAAAAAATTCAAACCTGGGCCCTCCCAGGTGGCCTAGGGGGTTAAGTCTCAGCACTATCACCACTCCAGCCTGAGTTCTATTCCCGGCCAGGGAGCTACCCACATGGCGCAGCAGACCTCTCCTGTCTCGCCCACTGCTCCCCTCAGCAGTGTATTTCTGTCGGTCTGCCTGTTCTGCTCCCCACTCTGTCTCTGGTGAATCCTCTCACCCTGCTTCGCCTCTGGCCTGTACCCCAGTTCTTGTTTGCATAGATGAATAAATAAATCTTTAAAAAAATTCAAACCTTAGGTAAGTCTTATTTAAAATCTTTGTGTTTCTGTTGCCTTATCTATAAGGCAAACATAATAACACATATCCAAAGGAATTGTTGTAAAAATGAAATGATGAGTGTGATGAATATAGGGAGTTGAGTGTTCAGCACTTTCCCCTTCCCATCCCTGTCTTAACTGACTTGATAATTTTCAGCTATTTTTTAAAATTATTTTTTAAGGTTTTTTCATTTTCATACAAGAGCTGGGGTACAGGCCAGTCAGCTATTTTGGATAAACTTTTTGTTCCTTACATCTCAATGTCGGAAGGATCAGCACACATGAATAATTAATTCTCAAAAAATACCATGACCCAAATTTCCAGGTCCCACTACTCTTTTTTCGAAATGCCAGAAGGTTCCTTCTCAATAGCCTGTGACCTTTGGGAAGAGGTGTGCTTTAGCTCACCCTTAGCAGGTAAACACAGACTCACGGTTCAAAGCCTTTGAGAAACCAGACTTGTGGGCATTTGAGCAAGACTGGTTACTGCCCCAAATGCAAGGAGAGTCTCGACAGATGACTAATGTCCTCTCTGTGGTCAGCTGCTTCATCCAGGACACGTTGACCAATGTGGGAGAGAATTGAATTTCAGTAAATAAGACTGCTCTGGCCGATTACGGCCGAACACTTCTCGGAGAAGGAGAAAGCTTGCGGTGGAAAAGTATTTTGAAATGTCTCTCAAGATTTTCTTAAATTGCTCTTCACCTCTCTTGGCATGAATGGATTTGAGTCTGTCTGCAACATTTAAATGACCGCTAACTGAGTCCAGGTGTCTATAATTTAATATAAACAGATCTTGGAGGTTTTGGGTACAAAACAGTCTTGGCAACCACCTTAGTGTTAAGAAGTAAATCTCTAAGACACAAGAGAGAATAAATAAATAGTCCAAGCAAAACTGGCTTGTTAAAAACAACAGTGAATAACCCTAAAAACAAAGTCCCATATATTCAGAGGAAATAACCAAAGATTTGAGTTGGTTATTTTATCATCTCGTTTAATTTTGACTCACAGTTAATACTCTTGTGTATGAAAATTAACTGAATTTTTAATTTTTTTCCAATAAGTAACACATGGATTGTCCCTATTCTTTGGATAAAAAGTGGAACAACCCAGTCATTAGTCTGGCTAGATGAAAACAGCAGTAAGTAACACATTTTAAAAATGTCTTTACTTATGCACATGAATATATTAATATATGTATAAAGACAGAGAGTAAAAATTGAAATATCTAGCTTTTGAAAAGCTTTCCATTTAAAATTAAATTATATCATTCTTATTAAACAAAGAACTTTAAAAGACATTTCTGATTAAAAACAATTATGTGTGGAAAACTGTAATTATGTGGTTAAGGTTGATACATATTTTAGATGCCCTTTATTTTTTGTGTTTTCAGGAGTTTATTATTTAGAATGAAGAGGCTATAATATAGACATTGCATCAAACTATGTTTTTAACTATTTTTTTTATTTTTGACATTTTCCTTTGTAGAAGTATTTCCTGAAATGCAAGTTTCAGATGCAGATCATGACTGGGTGATTTTAAATTTGAATATGACTGGATATTATAGAGTTAATTATGATAAGTTAGGTTGGGAGAGATTAATTCAACAACTTGAAAAAGACCCTAAGGTAAGGATTTTTATTTTTTGTACCTTTTATTAAGTATCATTGCCTTTTACAGGCAGAGCTTTTATAAGCTCTCGCTCCCAGTCATACTGGATCTTCTTCCTTATTCTTAGAAAAAGGGGTTGGTTAGGATTGCTGTATCATGCTTTTGAATATTAATCTCACTTCTTCCCAACAGCTTTACCTTTCTAAATAAAAATCAGAATCTATGACCAGTTAATCATTCATTTTGTGATCTTTAGAAAGTTATTGAATGTTCTGTTACCATTTCTTCACTTTAAAATGAGGACAGCATTCTATCTTTCTTATTCAATATAACAATTAGAGATGATGTAGGTAAAATATACTTAATAATTTTAAGCTTAAAACAGATGCTCAGAGTATGCTAGAAATTTTCAATTTTCTAAAAATCATATTCTCCCTCAGAGGAAAGAATTTAATTCTCCAAGTATCAATAATAATCCCATACTACTTTAAATTGCAAAGCAAGTATAAATGATTGTGTGATGTATAACTATTAAAGTACTGGCTACTTGAATTAATCAGATTTTTAATTACCAAACCTGCATTTTGGAGATGGATCTGACTTTGGACTCTGTGGAGTCGGTTCTGTTGTGAAATCTTGGGCAGTTCAGTGAGACTCCATCCATAAAATGAGAGTGTTGAACTAAATGGTGGCTTGGTGTGTTTCTCTCCTGCAAAGTTCTCTGAGATGCTCAGCTGTCTCACTGCTTTTGGTCAGAGCTTGGGTCTCCATCAGATACACATGAGTTCCTACTTTTATTCCTTCTTTACTAGATGTTTGACCTTGGGTCTTTAATTTGGCCAATCATGCCTTCATTTCCTAATCTGCATAATAATGAGTTTAAAAGACTGATCTTAAAAAGTTGCCATGAAGATTAAATGACGTGATGCACATATTATGTTTAACAGAGACCTGACTCAACTCAGGTTTTCTGAACATCTTCAATATTTTTTTTTAAATTCCCTTTGAGCTTTTGAATAAAGTTATAAAACTCACTTAATAATATTTTATTTTAAAGTCTTTTTCAATGTACTAAATTCTTACTAATTCATAGCAGATTGATTCCTTATTACTAGCCATGGAAGCACTAGGCCAGCCCCAACATGATGCTTATGATTTCTTAAGACCATTGTGTGGTCTAATGAAATACCAAGACTGATTATTCCTAAAGCAAATACAACTGCATTTTTACTGTTAATATTAATCTAGAAAATATAAGCATTATCAGTAACAGAAAAACTACATTAAGATTATGCTTAAGTCCATATAGTATAGCAAGATTGTACTAATGAAAGAATTAAGCTTGGCTTGCTCAAATGCCTGAGGGGATGTTGTGAAGGTAACTTCTCTGGGTCCAAATGCTTGATATGCCTTGCCTGGAGGTGTTGAGGATGCCATAGCCTCTGGGACCCCCAGCGCACTGAAGCTCAAGTAGAGCCCCCAGGGGTGTGGCAACCCGAGAAGGAGCTCAAGCAGATGCCTAAAAAGCCAATTTAGTCTTGGAGATGTGGGTTTTGTTAACAGGATTGTGTCAAATTAGTGAAATCTGGAGATGACAGATACCATTTAAAAGAATTCCTCAATATTACCAAAATAGAGCTAAACAATATTTATTTAAGACATCCTATGCCAAAAATTTCCTCGATTTGAACATTATAATTCAATTGAATGTATACTCTGTTTTGGAGAGATCCTTTAAACTTGGCTTCCCATTTTATTTTTTAACAAGCTGTTTTTCAGGGAGTATTTTGGCATAACTCTATTTCATATTTAAGCTTTATGATTAATGCCCAGAGGGATCATTTATCAAAAACAGATGTGTAATAAATAAGTAATGGGGCTATCCTTAGTAATGATCATTTCTGTGCACATGAGATAACTCATATAAAAGTGCTTTCTAAGCATTGATGGTCTTTAAATATTATTTTGAAGATTTTTTTTTTTCAATAAAAGATGTTCTCATCTTTTCTTGATCTAATTTGCAGGCTATTCCTGTTATTCACAGACTTCAGTTGATTGATGATGCCTTTTCCTTGTCTAAGTGAGTATATTTTCTTCTATCTCATGGTTTTAGAATATTAAAAAAATTGAGAAAAATTATTTTAAATTTCTCTATATTGAGAAATTTAGAGAAATAGTAACCTCATCACTATGAAATTGGTTCTTTAGTATATACACCTAACTTACTCAGATTAGGGTAAAATTTTCTGATTAGAGTGGAATTTTATAATGTGAAAGTTGCCAGGATATGCAATAATATGAAGGGAGCTTGAGGACTTTATGCCAAGTAAAATAAGACAGTCATAAAACTACCATTTCACTGATATGAAGTACTTAGCATAGTCAGAATCATAAAGACAGAGAGTAGGTGGTGATTGCTGGTGTCTAGGAGGGGAAGTGGTGGAGAGGGAGGACTGGGAAGCTACTCTTCAGTGGGTATAGTGTTTCAGTTTTATAAGAGGAAGAGTAGTAGAAATGGATGGTCATCACGGTCACACAACATTAGGAATGTATTTGACTCCCCTGAGCTGTACACTTAAAACTGATTAAGCTGGTCGATTGTATGTAATGTATATTCTATTACAATAAAAAAAAATTGGAAAAGCTAATTTTAAAAAAGTCTATTAGGAAAAAACAATAATGTTCCCTACTGCTAGAAGGAAAGCCATAAAAGTGTTTTTTTACAGTAATTTGAAGGGAAGGAATCTGTTCCTTCTCAGGTCCAAACTTGACAATCTGTTATCAGATTTTTAATACATTTTTTATCAAATTAATGTTGGTGAAAAAGTATTTAAGCTGACCATGGAAATTTTTTTTAAAGGTCTTAAAAGAACAGCAAAGATGATTCAATGGTTTAAAAGAAAGAGCTTAAAGGAAAATATCTAAAAGCACGCAGGAGTGAAGCTATGAATAGGAAAAGATAATAATGTTTGAATATAGGATTATTTACAAAAAGTAAAAGTCTTTTCTTTTTATTTTATTATTTCTTTTTCTTTTCTTTTTAAAGTGTGTGTGTGTTTTTTTTTTTTAAGATAACATTGGTTTACAACACTCTATGTTGGTATACAACACTGTAGGGGTATAGTTCACGGACATACCCTCTTCAGATGCATGTCACCACACCACACCCACCACCAAAACCCCACAGTCCTCCACCATAGTCCATTAGACACTCCTCTCCTCTTTGCTTCCACCTCCTACTCTCCCCTTCTTTTAAAAACCCCAATCAAGAATAAAAATGTAGGGCCTCCCTGGTGGCGCAGCAGGTTGAGCTCAGAGCTGTGAAGCTGTCTGCAGCTTCTGCAGCGTAGGTTCGATTCCCGGCCGGCCAGGGAGCTACCCTCATGTTGTGGCAGACCTCTCCTGTCTCGCCCACTGCTCCCCTCAGCAGTGCTTTCTGTCTGTCTGCCTGTTCTGCCCCCCACTCTGTCTCTGGTGAATCCTCTCACCCTCCTGCGCACCTCTTGCATAAAAATAAATCTTTTTTTAAAAAAAGAATAAAAATGTAGATAAAATATAAGTAATTAAAGCTTGCATTAATACAGACTGTTAAATATTAAAATATATAAATCTGGGAAGATTATAGAAAATGTGTTCATATCTTTCTATGGTCTTAGAAGTTAAAGAAATAAAGTAACTGACATATTCCTTTAAAAAGTTGTTAAAAAAGTTGTTAAAAGAGAATGTCAATTGAGATTTTGAAGTGATTTCTCTTATTGAAGGGTAATGATTGTATGTATAATGAATGAGATATGGTCTGTATTGTAACTAGTACAGAATTAATGATTTTATTTATATTAAACTTGTTCAATAGAAGCCATGCTGTTAAGTGTTTGACGATTTAAATTAATTTGTGTTCAGAATTTAAATTGTCAGACCATAAAATTAGGGGAGTATGCAAGAGAAATTTTTCAATGTGTTCTGTTTCTTTGGCCTGGCATATATCTTGACAAGAAAATTCTTTTTTACCCTTAATTTGAGCATTCTTTACTAATGCTTCCCACTGTGACTTATGACACATCTTTCTCACCACTAAGCTGAAACAATTCCCAAGATTACCATGACTTTGATATTTTGGCCTTCTTCTGGAACCTTTGTTTTTAATTTCTTGTGACTTCAATTGCAAACCTGGTTCTCCTGATGTATCTAACTTTTATTCCTGCTATTAGGACATCTTTCTGGTCAGTCATGGCTATGTTATTTTCTCCTTTCTCCCTTAGATAACTCAGGCATTCTTATGCTTCAGTGGTCATTGTATTATGTACCTATATAGTTCCTGGCAGATATAAAGCACTCAAAAAATGTTCGTGGAAGGATATCTTGATGACTTCTAAACCTGCATCTCTTCTTGTCTTCTTTCCTTACCTTCATCCTAACCTACTTTCTTCTTTCTCTTTACCCATTTCAACCTTACCATCCTTCATTGCCCTTCTGCAGTTCCTCCTCTAGGAAGTCCTCTATGACTTTTCCATCATATGCATATTTTATTACATCCATTGCCTTTCCTAGACCCTTTCAAAAACAGCTCCCTGTGCATATATCTTAGCTCCTCACTGAAGTAATAAACCTCTCAATGGCACATAGGCATGGTGTCTTATATATTAGTTTGTGTACCCACCAGTAGCTAACAGCTATTTAACAGAGAATAGCTTTTTATAAATATTTGTTGACTGAAACTTATACTTTCATAAGATGTACACTTTCATAAGATGCACAAATGTTCTATTGCCCAATAATCTGCCAACACTTGGCCAGGATTTTCTACAGCTCCCAAGACTTTGAGCACTTGTACATGCCAAACTGAAAGGGAGAGTCTGTCGATATTGCTTGGGTTCCATTTTTCAATGAGATGGGCCTTTTACCCTCCAGCTGTTAGATTTTACATGCCTTGTTAAGTCAGGCACTGAACCATGCATGGAACAGATATAGGAAGTGTGCAAATCATTTAGTGAGTGAAGGTTTTATTTGAGTGTGTGTTTTTTTAAACCAAACAGAAACAATTATATTGATATTGAAATAGCTCTTGATTTAACCAAGTATCTTGCTGAAGAAGATGAAATTATAGTATGGCATGCAGTCCTGGCGAGCCTTGTCACCAGAGACCTTGTGTCTGATGTGAACAACTATGACATATACCCATTATTAAAGGTAATTCCATTCTTTGTTATGTGGTTTTAAGAAAAATCTTCCCTTCCTCTTTTCATGTTCTACCCAGCACTGTGAAATCAGTCTTTTGCAAAGCAATCATCTGTTAGCCCTGTATATGTATTAATTTTCTTAGGAATGGCTGATCATTCTTAAAGGAAAAAACCTTAGCTGTAGTACTGATCTAGGAAGTGAGTATAAGAAAAGTTTGGAAAGGTATTTAATTCTTGATGAAGTGACAATGGTCCTAAGAAACCAGGAATAGGTGGAAATTATATTCCTTTTTTTTTTTACTAGAAAAGTAGAATGCTTTTAGTAACTATTTCCTTAAAAGATTGCTAGTCAAACAGAATGACTTTTAACAACTCCCTATTCATAATCGAAATACTCTGATTTACAAGGCCAGCACTTAAAACCAGAGAGGTACATGACATGAAAAGTGAATGTAACTGCTTTTGATGTTGAGAAAAGAGAGAAATTATGATTAGTGAATGAAGAAATGATATCCCATCAGGTCATTGTAAAAGGGGAAAATAACATATAAAACAACATAAAAGGGAGAAATTCCATTAGAAGATCTTGATCACTGAGCGTAAGAACTATGGCAGAAGTAATCCTCAAAGTCAAGGTTAGGGAGCAATGCTTCCAAGGGCATAGGGCCACGGATAAGCCAGCAAGTGTGCTAAGTGAGTTTGGGGGGCAGTAATGTCACCCTGATACTGGGTGACATCACAGATACTCAGAGATCCCAACTTTCTTTTATCTAGTGTCTGAAGTACTGAAGGGAACCTACTCGGATGTGGGGGTGGTAAGCAATAGAAGAAGGCACTTAAATGTTTGTGGGACTGAGGTTACTAATTGTGGGACCGAAGTTATTGGTTCTGAATAAAGAACTAAAAATGAGCATGTGTTTTTAAAGTATTTTGAAGAATAGCATCTAATTTATTCTTAGGGATATTTTGGTAAGTGTGTATCTTTTATAATCTTAATATTTACCAACTTTTAGCTCAACAACAACAAAAAAACTATTTCAGACTGAGGACTTAAATTTGCCCAAGGTGTAAATTCTTGTAATCTTGGAAGTATATATATTAATCATGAAATTTTTTCCTTATCTATCTCTCTGTCTCCTCTTCAATTCTATTTATTGAGGTAAAGATGGTTTACATCATTGTATTTGTCTTAGGAGTTATAGGTTTAAACCTCTACAAATGTATGTTTTCATACCGTGTCCACCACCAAAGCCTCAATAATCATGGAAGTTTTAAGGTAGAGAGCTTAATAGTTTCATCTTTTCATATTTTTTCCTGTATCTTGAAGACAACTGAAAATGTTTGGGGTGATACTGAATAATAATAATAGTTAATGTTTATTGAGTTCTTACTATGTGCCAAGCAGTGTGTTTGTATGCGTAGTATTATTTATTAATTGTTTACGTACGAGGAAAACAATCGTAGAGAGGTTAAAAAATAACCCAGTTACTCATTTTGTAACATTTTATTTCTTCATCACTGAAGAAATATCCATCACTTCTCTATTATTGTCTTTTTAGAGAAGAAGAAATGTAGAGCAAATTCATTGTTGTGAACCAGAACTAATGGTATATTTTTGTTACCATTTTTAGAAGTATCTATTAAAGAAACTTATCCCAATATGGAATACTTATTCATCTATAATTCGTGAAAATGTGGCAGCCCTGCAAGATGACTATTTAGCTCTGTAAGTATTCTTTTGAGCAGTTGAATAAAATGGTTCATATTCATATGTTGGTTTCCATTGGTAAACTAAGAACTTAAGACCTATTTAAGAGAGATTTTGTATGCCAGTGAGAACATTAGCTTTAGGATTGGTGAGCTACATATACCCTACTAGGGAAATAATAACCTGAGATCTTTTTAATTTACCTGCAAAGCACATACATGTACTCTGTATTTTCAGATTTCTGGCTAGTGATTGAAATTGAGTGTCTTACTATTTATGACGGGTAATGCTAAATAAAGTCATCTTATACCAATGAATTAAAGAGCATGGGAGAGCCAAATGGGAAAAAAGTTTCCTCTGTGTATTATTAGTAACAGAAATCCTACTGTGATGTAAATATGATTAGGTAGGTTGACAGTGAAGTATATCAGTCACTGGTGTGTGAGCAGAGAAAATATGACAAATGGTTTTCACAGCATTGGTTTGGTGAGACATGATGATCTAGGAAGAGGGTAAAAGGCAATATAGGGTGGTGGTGCCACTGGCATCCCTATGACCCCGGGTTTGGGCGTGTAGTTTGGGTGCCTGGATTTAGAGAGAGAATTTGTAACAAAAAACAGTACAGGGTTTATATTTACAGCTTCAGTCAACATCAAGCTGAAATCAATTAGACCAAGTAAGAAGTGCAAAATGTGATTATTCTCTCTCAAGAGTCTCCTGAGGGGAGAGATTTTAGTGCCAGGTTGTGTGACTGGAGGACATAGAATTGGATGGACAACTAGACGAAGGTGTTAAGTGGATAAGGAAGTTGTGTGAATGAATGGAAGGCAAAAGTGTACTCAACCTCATCTAGCTTAACAGCCACAACTCAGCTCTATCATGCTGAGGAGACCTGATTTTTTTTTAAAGACTCAGAATGGCTAATTTAGTTATTTGCATAGAAGAACTGGGGTGTAGGCCAGAGGTGCAGGGGGTGAGAGGGTTCATCAGAGACAGAGTGGGGAACAGAACAGGCAGATGGACTGAAATACACTGCTGAGGGGAGCAGCAGGTGAGACAGGAGAGGTCTGCTGCGCCATATGGGTCAGCTTCCAGGCCAGGGATCAAACTCAGCTCATAGTGTTGATAGCGCTGAGACTTAACCCCTACCTAGGCCACCAGAGAGGCCTGAGACCTGCTTTTTGTAGCACTCCTAGCCTAGTTCTTCTTCACCATGGAGAGTTAGTCTTTGCTTCCAGAGAACACCCCCTTGCTGAAACCAACTTGGCAATAGGTAGGAAAAAGGAGTGAGTACAGTGAATGCCCAGAACTATCTCTCATGGGGCCTCCACCCCTGGACAATCCACTTCTGCTTATTAGAAGATCACCTCTGGTTGGGTTTAAACTGGAGGGTGGAGCAATGGAAATTTGGTTCTTATATTTTCTGGAAATCTTATGCCAGTTTGCATTCCTTTACTTCTGACTGCAAACTCTAAGTGCACGCATCTGCCTCTCAAGGGGCCATTCATCTGGGTTTATTATTGTTCTTTGTTGTATTTCTTTGAATATATTTTGTTTTGAACCATAATGTGTACCTCTGCTCAGCTAGAAAAACAAAACAAAAGTACCAATTTTTTTCGTGGACATGATTATGTTAGCCAGGAGGAATAGAGGAAGAAACAGAAGCTGAAGCAAAGCTCCAGGGGAGAAATAAACCATTCCCTCTTGTTTTCATGTCCAGGGAAAGAACTTTTCAAAGTGTATTAGATCAGATACTCAAAAGTCATTTTTTAAAATCCATAAAGCAATTATTGTAAAAGGGAAGAAAAATAAATTGATAACAGATGCAGAATGTGTACACTCCCCTATGTGTTTTAGAAAGATGAAAGTTGGCAGTAATTTATTTCTAACTTTCAAAAAAATACCAGTCTTAGGAGCTTATTTGGTGCCTGAGAATCTCTCAGCAAATATTTCTCTGCATCTTCAATACGTTTGTCATCCACAAAAGCCAATTTTTAAACAAACCTAATGTTATTGAATGGATGTTTTAAATATGCACACTTTTATGAAATACGTATTCTTTTCTTAATTAAATTTTTTTATTTAAATAACATAGTAGCATTGCACTATAACATCATATACATTTCAGATATAGGTCATTAAAAATCAACAGAAATATGGGCCTCCGTGGTGGCGCAAAAGGTTAAGTACAGCACTTGTGAAGCTATCCACAACCTCTGCTGCAGCGGGAGTTGGATCTCCAGCCGGCCAGGGAGCTAGGGAGCTACGCACATGGTGCAGCAGACCTCTTCTGTCTCTCCTGCTGCTGCCCTCAGCAGTGCATTTCAGTAGATCTCCACTCTGTCTCTGGTGAATCCTCTCACCCCCCCTACCTCTGGCCTGTACCCCAGTTTGTGTATGCATAAATAAATAAATCTTTTAAAAAATCAATAGAAATACATATTCTTGAAAGCAAAAATAATTAAATGCAGTAATACAAAACAAAATATTTTTCTTTGACTTTCCCTTCAAGAATATCACTGGAGAAACTTTTTGGAACTGCCTGTTGGTTGGGACTTGAAGACTGTCTTCAACTTTCAAGAGACCTCTTCAGAAAATGGGTGAACCATCCAGAGAATGAGTAAGAATGATGTTGTAACTGCCTTTATTTTTGCCCAATTTCAGCACTGACAAGTTTTTTTGTTTTTTTTTTAACCTTACTTGACATGCTCACTCTGGGAGTAACTGATTTGTTTTCTCTTGGTTAACCTGTATCTCCTACTGTTTCTTTCAAATATCTTTCTTTATACAACTGTCTAATTGTAGGTCTTTGCAGAATGAGAGGACAGAGTTTATACAGTGAATTGTCTCATAAGACCTTTCATTGCCCCTGATTCCCTAATAAGCCCTTATGCTTATTTTGAATCTTATTTAGGTTGTTCCTAACGATCACTATTGTTCTATTCATTACTACTTCAAAGCACCTTTCTCTATGAGATTGCATTCCCACCGAGAGCTGAGACTAAGACCCTATAAATTTGCTTTATTATATTCACCTTTAATATATCAGCTCCGATGGACTCTTAGGAAATGTGGTAATAAGATATGAGACCAAACTTAATTATCAACATACACTGTTTGTACTATTCTAATTTACTTCTCTGTTAAAACTCCTTAGTTGTTAAAAAGAGTTAATGATCTGTTCTCATGACATTAATGCTAATGGCAGTTTCCACATTTCCTTTCCTGGATTCTTACTTTTTGAACTTTATATCTGAGATCTCAAAGGTTTTCTTCCAGATTTAGACTTTGAAGTATATGGCAACCTAGGTGAACATATAACTCAAACACTATGAGAAATATTATTGTATGTTATACCTTACAGAATACCTTATCCGATTAAAAATGTGATTTTATGTTACGGCATTGCCTTGGGAAATGATAAAGAATGGGACTTTTTGTTAAATGTCTACAATAATAAGACAAAGGAAGAAGAGAGGCTTCAACTTGCTTATGCCATGAGCTGCAGTAAAGATCCGTGGATACTTAACAGGTGATTATTGACAACTTTACCTCTAAAGCTCCTGGTACAGAAAACCATTAAACCAAAGGGAGAAAAAGAGAAATGGCTAATAGAAAAGTATACTTGCACATCACGAACTTAGAGCCCTAGGGGATTTTATTTTATTTAAAGATTTATTTATGCATATAAGAACCGGGGTGTAAGCCAGAGGTGCAGGGGACAAGAGGATTCACCAGAGTGGGGAGCAGAACAAGCAGATCTACTGAAATACACTGCTGAGGGGAGCAGCAGGCAAGGCAGGAGAGGTCTGCTGTGCCATGTGGGTTGCTCACTGGCCATCCAGGGGTCGGGGATTGAACTCGGGTTGTTGCTGCAGTGGCTGGTGATAGCTTGATAGCGCTGTCTTTAACCCTCGTGCTGCCAGGGAGACCCCCCTAGGGGATTTTAATTTCACTTATTTAAATTAACTCTTTATATTGGGCACTTTTTACATATTTATTTTCTGCAAATGCACTTTTGCAGATACATGGAATATGCCATCACCGCATCCCCACTGACTTTTAATGAAACAAATATAATTGAAGCTGTGGCAACATCTGAAGTTGGTCGGTACATCGCAAAAGATTTTTTAGTCAACAACTGGCAGGCTGTGAGTGAAAGGTAAGAGGAAATGTGAGGTTTGGTGTTCAAAGCTTGGCTTTAGTCAGGATAGGTCACAAAAGTTCTTTGCATTAATAAAAAAAGTGATTAATTTTCTGCACTTAGTCTCCCCGAAAAATGGCTGTACTGTGAAAGAAAAGGTCATTCATCCTCAATTTTGGCTTTCTGCATGAAAATAGATTTGCATAGAATAGTTATCAACCTCATTTTCCCCATTGTGCCCACCAAGAAAGAATCTAATCTTCTAAGACACAGATTAGAGCAAGTTCATGTTATTTGGCATGAATATACATCATTCATTTGTTTATTTTATGAAACCATTGTTATAGCAGCCTGGATATTGTTCTTGACTTTCATTTGTCAAATTGACTTTATGTAATTGGTTTCCATTTTCTTAAGCTTTTTAATTTCTCACCTTTTAAAGTTAAATCTTGCTTCCTAGACCCTCTGTTGGGTAAAATACGCGTCAACATGCAAAAACCAGGCAGTATGCCATTGGTTACTGCTTTTTCTAGAACATTACTTAACCATGTAATCTGAAAAGCCTAGAATAATATGTTCTACAAGTATTCACATACTGTTACAGTTGACAGATACAAAGTAGCCAACCGTTCAGTTTCTTTCCATCTGTAAAGTTGGAACTTACTTTTGTAAACTAAGTTTATTCCTTGGAAACAGAAAATACATGTTTAGAATAATTTAGAAATATAGAAGCATTTTGAAATTACAAGATTTCTAAATTCAAATTAGAAAAATTCTAAATCTAGAAGAATTTAGAATGTGAAAGTGACTCTTATAGAACAAAATAATGGAATGTTTCTCTTTTGTAAACATTTATTGAACACTTTATGAGACCAAAAATCTGCTTCCAAATCAAAAGTTTTATTTTATTTTTTAATTTTTTTTAAATATTTATTTATTTATACAAGAACTGGGGTACAGGCCAGGTGCTTAGAGGGTGAGAGGATTCACCAGAGACAGAGCGGGGAACAGAACAGGCAGATCAACTGAAATACACTGCTGAGGGGAGCAGCAGGCAAGACAGGAGAAATCTGCTGCACCGTGTGTATATCCACGGATGGCGGGGATGGAACCAGCACTGCAGAGGCTGCTGACAACTTCACAGCGCTGCGTTCAACCACCTGCACCACCAGGGAGGCCCAAGTCAGAAATTTTAAATGTGTAGATAAAAGCTTATTTGTTCAGCATCATTTTTAGGCTCTTCAGTGGAAGACTCAGCACTTACTCACATATTGAAAAAAATCATCCTTATCTCCTGATTTAAATTATGTACCATTCCAGGGTCATTGCTTCAGAGGGTCTTGTGAGTTCCTTAAATTTTCAGAGATCCCTAAATGGTGTCTGCCATTTTTGCTTTAGTTTTTAAAGATAACACCTTCCCTCACAGATTCTACTTCCTGCTAGAATTTGGGAGTTGGATTATAAATGAGAATTATTTACACAGGTCCCCTTGTTCCAGAGTTTCCAGCCTTATAGTGTTGCCTGTTAGTTTCTGCTCTCTCTACCTGGATGTGCCTGAGTTTGCCTGGGCTGTGAACCTCTGCTGCTGTGGTCATTTTACCCAAAGATAGTCACTTCAGCTACAGTCCTTGACCATCTTCTCCCACACCTTCCTGCTGAGCTGTCTAGTAGCAACTTTGGAATTAAAATGTGGAGAGAACAGCAATTTTAAGAAATATGCCATGATTTGCCTCAAGGCACCAAAGCTGTCACATTCTTCCTTCCTTCTGGTACACACAGGTGCGCAGTTACTTTCCAGGATAGTCTGTGGTAGTCCTCGCATTTGGTGTGCCCTTGTAAAGGTTAAGTGTTGTTCATACTGCTGTGGCCCAAAGTGGCACAGTGCCTGTCAGCCCTGCGCCATGTCCTCACTCAGACAGGGGCGCCTAAGCACAGTGCACATCTCTCAGGTGTAGCAGGGCTTCAGGATCAACAGGAGTGGCCAGTGAATCTAAAGCCTCCCAAATCTACTATTCCTTTAACAGCAGAACCTACTAGAAAGGGCAAGAAGTCAGAACCTTTCACTAGATCTCCAGGTGAACTTGATACAGTTTCACAGTTGACAATGCATTTAATAAGTATGTAAGGCTGCATTGCTCAATATGATAGCTACTAGCTAACATGGGTGTTTAAATTTAAATTAAGGGCCTCCCCAGTGGCGCAGCGGTTGAGCGCTGAGTTGCAAAGCTGCCCGCAGCCTCTGCAGCGCTGGTTCGATCCCCGGCTGCTCCCAGGCCACCGGAGGAGGGTCCCACATGGCGCGCAGACCTCTCCTGCCGCCCGCTGCTCGCCTCAGCAGTGTACTTCGGTCCTTCTGCCTGCTCTGCTCCCCGCTCTGGCTCTGGTGAATTCTCTCACCCTCCCGCGCTTCTGACTGTACCCAGGGCATGTATAAACAAAAACAAACAAACAAGCAAACAAATAAATAAAACATGCCTCTATTAAAAAAAAATAATAAAAAAAATAAATAAATAAAAATAAATTTAAATTAATTCAATAAAAATTAAAATTCAGTTCTGAAGTCATCTAACCCTGTTTTAAGTGTGCAGCTACTGTGTCAGACAGCTCAGGTATAGCACGTTTCCATGACTGCAGAGTTCAACACGAAAACACTGCTCTAAAGGGTTAATGGCCCCTCAATTTTTTATTTCCTCTCTTGCACCATCCACAGGGCGTGTGCCAATTAAATCCTCAAATGGCTTCAAGAAACCCCTGGGAAAGGTTGTTCTTAAATTGAAATGATCTTAAGTGTGTTTTAATTTTTATTCCTCAGAACATTCTGTCTGCATTTAGAGAATAGGAACATATTGGCAACACTTTCTAGAAATTCATTGTCTAGCAGTTTATGTACAAGATTGCACAACTTTAATAAATAAGAGCATAGAAGCAGCAGGTTTTTGAAAAAAACATTATCCCCAAGAAATTCCTAGGATTTTAAATGCATGAACTTTTAGCCATGGCTTGAATATTTTTATCTTTTATCAACAAAATGTCATACTCCTGAAGTTGATGCCAATCTTATTACCTCCAAGGAATTTCTAGAATCAAAATGCATGATCTTTTAACCAAGACTTAGGTCTTTTTATCCTTTATCAACAAAATATCATGCTCATAAAATAGATGCCTTTCTACTTGTGGTAAATTCATCCCCTTTCACTCCTCTGCCACATTCTGCCACAAAAAAATCTTTCAAACTCAAACAAATTTGTTTTCTACATATATTGCATTTATAATACATAAATATTTACATTATTTTAAGGTTTGATTTATATTAGCCATTCTTGCTGGATTTTGCTAACAACGTTGTTTGACTAGACATTAAGATTATTTATGGGGCCTCCCTGGTGGTGCAGTGGTTGAGTGCTGGGCTGTGAAGCTGCCTGCAGCCTCTGCAGTGCTGGCTTGATCCCCGACTGCCAGCGAGGGTCCCACATGGTGCGCAGACCTCTGCTGACACGACCGCTGCTCCCCTCAGCAGTGTACTTCGTCAGTCTGCCTGTTCTGCTCTCTGCTCTGGCTCTGGTGAATTCTCTCACCCTCCTGTGCTTCTGACTGTACCCAGTGCTTGTATAAATAAATAAATAAATCTTTAAAAAAAAGATTATTTATGAATTGTTAGAAGGAAATAAAAGTACGAATTAATAATAAAAATATTATGTACATTAAGAGGCGCAGGAATGTTTAATTCTTTGTATATTAGCATATGTAATCATATATTGAAGTTATATTTAATATGAATATTTTACTAGTCTTCATATAATGATGAAATGTAGAAATATAAGTAAACAAATGCTTATTAAATTTAATATTAATTATGTGAAAGAATTTCCTCTGCATTTACTTAAATATAACTGCTCATTGGCAAGCTAGCACTATAATAGTGTTCCTGCAGTGTATTCCACTCAGCATAATTCACGAAGACGTGGGTAAGCCTTCTTTTGACAAGGGAGACAATAGCCCCATGCATTTTGTCTGCTTCAACCTCTGCCTTTGCAAATTCACAGTATATGTTAGCATAGTAAAGGCTCCAAGAAGCCCTGCAGAAGAAAATCTAGAGTTTTCCATATACTTTGCCAGCATCTTATTGCTGTAATCCTGCCATGTACTTTATATGCTAATATAAACATAAACATTTGTCATTAGATCTCTTGTACTGGGGAGAAAGATGAGAAATGAAATTCTTCAGCGTTTTCCTCTGGAACTAAAAACTTGAAGAGCATCTATTTATTACTTGCCTATTTAGTTAGCATTTAGGACTCATATTCCCAGTCTACAAAGTAAGAGACATTGTATATGGTGGGCTCTAAGATTCTTTCTAGTAACTGAAAGTTCTGGGTCTTTTATACCAAGGTACAGAAAGTTCAAGCTATTAGTGGTGATAGAAAGTAATCAGGTGTGGTATCTGGTAAATGCTGTAGAGATGGGGAGGCTTTGGGGTTTCAAAGGGAAGAACAGGACTGGAGTGGGATTTGAACAGGCCAGGTTTTTGTACATAGAATGACTGAGAAGGAGGCTGGTCAGAGCACAGGGCCCTGGACAGGAGCAGATGGAGCTGGCAGTGTCAGAGTGGAGAACACTGCCAATACCAGTTGAGCACTCTCCTTTCTAGTCTCAAACTATATTTTGGAATATTTAATTGGCTTGACCCTGCATCTTCCAGGACACTGTGGGGTGATGAGTTCACTGTTGGACCAACACTGTTGATCTTTTAAGTACCAGTTTGGGAATGTCCACTGACCATAAAGCATCTTCCAGGTCACAGAAAAAACAGTATGTACTGGCATGTGGAAAAGCCTGCAAAAGACTTTGTGGACAGAGATGAAAGCAGGGATTTTTAAGACACTCACTTTTATGTCCTAGAAACAATATCTCTGTCCTTATCTTCTTTGTCAAGTTGCCTTTGACTTTCTTTAAACAATGTGGGCTTCACCATCTGCAGAAAAATTCTAGTTAGAATAGAATATAGAACATAAGGTGTCATCAGTTTCAAAACCCAACTGGTCTAAAACGAATATTAGCCCTCTTCTTCACCAAACACTGGATCTCTTCAGCAAATACTGGCATATGGTCTAAAGTCCTTGCCTTGAAATTTTCACTGCTACTCTTGTATTTCATGATGGGGAGTACAGAGTTGAAAGGGTTAAATTGGAGCACAGGGGAGCTGAGACCCTATTGCAGTGGCATCTCTTCCCAAGGACTTGAGACTCCTTTCCACCCTTTTCCCAGGTAGAACTGATGCCTTGGGGCCTGTGCTTGCCTCAGGAAACCTGGCATGGGGATGTAAGGAGGGAGGGAAATGGAGAAAAGAGAGAGGCAGGAGGCAAGCAGTGGAGAGTACCCGATCACTGTGTCCAGAGTAGTGTTGTATGTTACCCTTCTTTTTTCAGTTGAGGAATATTCCATTCAGTATTTGTCTTTCTCCTTCTGACTTATTTTACTTAGTATAATCACCTCCAGTTACATCCCTGTTGTTGCGAACGGCAAGAGTTCGTATTTTTTTTAAATAGCTGAGTATTACTTCATTATGTGGAATGGAACACTCACATCTACCTACTCTATTCATCTGTCCTGGGACACTTAGGTTGTTTTCATACTTTGGCTACTGTGAATAGTGCTACAATGAACATAGGAGTGCATATATCCCTTCATATTAGTGTTTTCGCGTTCTTTGAGTAGATACCTAGAAGTGGAATTATTGGATCATATGGTAAATCTATTTTAATATTTTGAGAAACCTCCATAGGGACTGGACCAGTCTATATCCCACTTGAGGTTTCCTGTTTTCCCACATTCTCCTAAACACTGGCTGTTTCTGGTCATTTTGATATGAGCTGTTCTCACAGGAGTGACACAGTAGTTTTCATTTGCATTTCCCTGATGATAAATGATAATGAACATGTTTTCATTGTTCCTCTTGTACTTCTGTATATGTTCTCTGAAGAAGTGCCTGTATAGTTCTTCTGCACATTTTTTGATTGGGTTATTTGTTTTTATTTTGTGTGAGGTTTTTTTTTTTTTCCTGTTACACCTTTTCTTATACTTTTTTCTTTCTTTTACTTTATTTTTTTAATAATAAATTTTATTTTTATATTCCCCATACAATTTCAACCCCCCCATTTTGACCCCAATCCCTCCCCTCCCGCCACCCACCCCCCCAAAAGTGTCTCTGCTTCATAGATTTTTGTTGATTTTGATTTTCACTTTCTTATTGTTATTCATTTTCCTGGTCCCTTATTTAAGTTTTCTAGATTCCTGCTATGAGTGAGACCATCTGGTATTTTTCTTTTTCTTTCTGGCTTATTTCACTGAGCATGATCCCTTCCAGCGCCACCCATGTTACTGCAAATTGCATGTGTCTATCATTTTTGAATGCTGAGTAATATTCCATGATATATATGTACTACATCTTCTTGATCCAGTCATCTATTCTTGGGCATTTGGGCTGTTTCCAAAGCTTAGCTATTGTAAATAGTGCTGCCATAAACATAGGGGTGCAGGTGTTCTTTGGAATTGATGTTTCTGTGGCCTTTGGGTAAATACCTAGGAGTGGAATTGCTGGATCATATGGAAGCTCTATGTTTAGTAGGTCCAGAAATCTCCACACAGCTCTCCATAGTGGTTGGACCAGTTTGCACTCCCACCAACAGTGCAGAAGAGTTCCTTTTTCTCCACACCCTCGCCAACATTTGCTGTTGCTAGTTTTTTTAATATGTGCCATTCTCACTGGTGTGAGATGGTATCTCATGGTAGTTTTGATTTGCATTTCCCTGATGACAAGTGATGTTGAACATTTTTTCATATGCCTGTTGGCCATTTGCATTTCCTCTTCAGAGAAGTTTCTTTTTAGCTCTTCTGCCCATTTTTTGACTGGATTATTTTCTTTGTTGTTGTTGAGTCTCATCAGCTCTTTGCAGATTTTTGTGATCAGTCCTTTATCATTAGTGTTGTGTGCAAAAATGTTCTCCCAGTTGGTGGGGTTTCTCTTTGTTTTTTTTATTGTCTCTTTTGCTGTGCAGAAGCTCTTTAATTTGATGTAGTCCCAGCTGTTTATCTTTGCCTTCACTATCACTGCTTTGGGTGATGTGTCTGTAAAGATGTCTTTGATGTGCATATCCCGTAGTGTTTCACCTATATTTCCTTCATGTATTTTATGTTTTTTTTTTTAAGATTTATTTATGCATACAAGAGCTGGGGTGTAGGGCAGAGGTGCTGGGGGGTGAGACAGAGTGGGGAGCAGAACAGTCAGATCTATGAAATACACTGCTGAGGGGAGCAGCGGGCGAGTTAGGAGAGGTCTGCTGTGCCAAGTGGGTCAGCTCCCTGGTCGGGGATGGAACTCATGCTGTAGTGGCTGCAGATAGTTTCACAGTGCTGAGACTTAACCCCTTGTGCCACCGGGGAGGCCCCTTGTATGAGTTCTTTATAGATCTTGGATATCTGCCCCTTTTCAGATGTTACCCATTTTTTAAAGGGTAACTGTACTCACACCCACTGGCTCTTATTTTTATGTTAACTAGAATGTATTAAAATATTTCTAATGTACTTATTTTTGTTCAGTAAAATTTTTAAACAATTGCTATCACAACAAGAGTGATAAATCATCTCTAACTCAAGAATATTCCATCTTGAAGCTTGGGAGACAGTGTGTGTGCCAGGTATTTGATAAATGCTTCAACCTACATTATTTCGTTCAATCTCAGAACAATGCTTCTCACTATATGTTACTCCTCATTTTTACAATTTAAAGGTTATCCAAGGTCAAGTCAAGCCTACCCTTCCTCTCCCAGTAACCAGCCTCCCGTATCTGATAGAAAATCACGCAATTAGCCCTCTACATCATTTTCCTGTTTTCTGCTTTTTTAAACTTTGGTTTCTTCGCAATTTTTGCCAGCTTTCTTGAGTCATCTTACGGGCTTTGATTACCTGGCCAATAAAAATGGAGAACTATTTCCTCTTTCCCCTTAGAAATAGGTTTGCTTGCCTGAGTTACATGTAGACTGTCTCTTATTCTCTCCTGTGCTCAAGTACACACAGCTTCCCTTGCAGCTGGGAACTTAAGAACTTCAGTGTCCTCGGCGCTCACCTCCCTGTGGATCACAACAACCCAGACTCACAATTTCTAATTTCAAGTATATATTTTTGAAGTAAATTGATTACAGGTATTAATAATCAAGGCAGTTCAATCATTTCTTGCTCAGTCCACTATATTAACTCTATTTTAATTTTCTTTCTTTTTTAATGCATCCCAAAGTCTTTATCATTTTTCTACTACAGCAACGCTTTAGGCAGGTATGTATCTGCTTTTTCTCCATAGCAATGCTTCATGACTTTATTTTCAACAACTCTGATTGTATATTCAAGGGCACTAAGCTAAAGGGGAAGTTCCGAGTCCTCTGCCTTCAGTGATGACCCACATGTGAGAATTCAGAAAACAGGGGTCCTCTCTCCAAGAAGCATAGGCAAATACAAAATTTTGAAGAAGCTTTAAGGGTATGGCAATTTGAGTTACTGAAATTGATGAACTGCCAGTTGCCTGAAGGGACTAATTTGCATATCTATTGACTCCGGTATAAATGTTCTTAATTGTGACTTCCAGCCTAATCACCTCATTTAAAAAGATAGAAACAGGTATCCTTGTTTTAACTGCTTTCTACAATTGAGTAAAACCTTTAAATGCATTTGTTACACAAATTAGTACTCATAAATGCTTTTTTAGTAATACTAGAATTTTCTAAATAATAGATTTTCTGTTAAAAGATGTGGCTAGACTACTTCATGGCTGGTTTCTCTTAAATTTGCCCAGACAGGTATTAATAGGGGCCATACACTTAGCATTTATCTGCTATTTCAAATGTACCTTTATCTCGTTCAATATTCTCTTCCCTGATCAGCATCTTGTTCTTTTGTAGGTATGGATCACAGTCATTGGTTACCCTGATGTATATAATAGGGAGAAGCATAAGTACAGATTTACAGATCATGGAGGTAAGTACTTTACCTGCTGTGATTTATGATTCGGAAGCCACCTTTTGTGGACATTGGAGTTACTAAGTCAAAAATAACGCACTTCTCTCAATTATTACATTCTGTGCTCCAGGGTTATTCTATTCTGTGCTGTTATTGCTGGGCAGAACAGGTTATTTGATCAGATCTTGTTCCTGAAATAGGCAGCCCTCCTTGGTCACAGAGTGCTGGGTTCCCCTGGCTCACCAAATCACTGCAAGAGACCCGGCCAGGCTTGTCTGCCCTCCACCCAATCTTTCATGTTGCTGTCACCGTTGTCACCAAGTCCCAAAGCCTCAGGAACTCATCATAGATTTTAGGAGAATTTTAAAATCTTTTCATTAATATCCCAAACCACTCCTAACCTGGCCCCTGCCTTGCTCTCTAGCTTTGGTTTTGCCCACATCACCTCCACGTGTCAGAGGAAAAGTGAGTCAGATACTCCCAAATACTTTTCCCCTCACTTTGCTATACCACTTATGTACTTTTGGGGATGATGATGTCTCACATTTTCTAGGTCTCAGAAACACTCTATCTTCCATCTGCCTAATCATCCATTATCACTCTGTTACAAAGAGCTATTCTGGGAATTTTTAACAAAGCGATTTACACCCTGTCCTGTGTGCTCCCAAATTGTCTTATGAATATGTTTAAAGAGCTCTCACCACAATATTCAGAAATCAGTGCGTGGCTAGTCCTGCATGAACTCCCGGAAGACTATGTTTTAATCACGTCTGTGTTCTGGAACCTAACTTGGGACTTGTCATTGCCAGGCCCTGCCCTCCTCTGGCTGAATTTTCTCTTACACAGGAATTCTCCTTGTGGAGCAAGCATAGGTCCAGGCACAGGTGATCTTTAGTATCCTCAGTCACACAGGAAGGAATCCTTTCTCACCCACTTTACAGGTCTAGCCCCCAAGCAAGGACTCTGGTTGGGCCTGCTTGGGTCATATGACCCATCAAGGTGGCCAGGCAGAATGCAATGCTCTGACCCTAACCTGGGAGCCAGGCCAACTTTGGAGCCAGTCCTGCCCAAATTACAGGCCCCAGGATAAGGAAGGGGTCATTGTGGAAAGAAAAGGAAGAGCCAGAAAGTAAATGGATGGGCAAAGGCAAATGACTCCACATGCTCATACAAAGTAAAACAAGACTGATATGAATCCAACCTTTAAACATCCAGCAGGTGGTTAAATTTAGAAAGATTCACTATACCAAATACCAGCAGAGTTGGGGAGTGACTCATTCACTCTCAATCTTCTGGTGGGATGTAGCATGGTACAACCACTCTGGAAAATAGGCAGCTTTTAAAAATGTTAGATAGGGCCTCCCCGGTGGCGCAGCAGTTGAGCGCTGGGTTGCGAAGCTGCCCACAGCCTCTGCAGCGCCGGTTCGATCCCCGGCTGCTCCCCGGCCACCAGAGGAGGGTCCCACATGGCGCGCAGACCTCTCCTGCCGCCCGCTGCTCCCCTCAGCAGTGTACTTTGGTCCTTCTGCCTGCTCTGCTCCCCGCTCTGGCTCTGGTGAATTTTCTCACCCTCCCGCACTTCTGACTGTACCCAGTGCATGTATAAACAAAACAAACAAACAAATAAAAAAAATGCCTCTATTAAAAAGATAAATAAAATAAAAATGTTAGATACATGTGACATAACAGTTCCACTTTTAGGGTTTTACTTGAGAAGTTAAAACCAACATCCCCACAAAACTGATGCCCCCCATACATGAATGTTCATCACAGCCTTATTCCCATGAGCCAACACTAAACTCCATCCAAATGCCTATCAATAGGTGATAAGGAAAATGTAATACAGCCAAACAGTGACATATTACTCTGCAATAAAAAAAGAAATGTTTGTATAGTAAGATGGACAAATCTTAAGATATTCATGCTGAGTGAAGGTAACCAGGCATTTGCTGGAAACACAAATATAGAGTCCCTCAAGGCAGAGATGGACTGAAAAGGCTGGAAAGAAAAACATACTGTAATCTCGATTACAGCTGTGGTGTCACTGTCTCCACAATGGTGGAACCCACCAATATGTGTACTTTCAGTGAACATAGTTAATTGTGCATAAATTATGTCTCGATAAAGTTGATTTTTAAAAAAAAACTTTACCTGAGTGCAGATTAAACACCAGGGTCTGGAATCCTATTTAAAGGAGCAGAAAAGAAAATAACTGCTCCAAAAAATAAACATATGTATGTGATCTATCTATGTAGATCACAGAGAACTGTAATATAATCCTGAGCAAAATAACAAAAGCAGAAGTGGTCACTTCTGGAGCTATATAATGAGAGAGGAAGAACTGAAATTCCCGAAGGAATTGTGGTGTTAGATTTTGGGGCTGCCTGAGGCTGGGCTGCTGGGACCTGACTTATCAGATGGAGCACAGATGAAGGACTTGCCCAGAAATGCTGGCAGGCAAGCAAGACTGAGCTTGGTTGCTGTTTTCCCCAGGGCATCAAGCTCATCTTTGTCGCTATGAACCCAGCTCTGCTCTCAATGAATGAGTGAAGTGTAACGTCAGCAATCCGCCAAGTTCCAAAACGCTAGTCACTGATCGTTTATTTTTAAAAGGCAAACATGGATTCAGTGGTGGTTAATTTACTACAAAATTGGAAAACAAGCAAATTAGCTACTATGGCTATACTTGTCAAAAAGATATTAATGTCTGACAGTCCTACTATAATATATCAGTTCACACAATAATATCAAAAGTCATTATCAAGAGCCCCACCGGTGGCGCAGCGGTTGAGTACTGGGTTGCGAAGCTGCCCGCGGCCTCTGCAGCGCCGGTTTGATCCCCGGCTGCTCCCCGGCCACCAGAGGAGGGTCCCGCATGGCGCACAGACCTCTCCTGCCGCAGGCTGCTCCCCTCAGCAGTGTACTTCGGTCCTTCTGCCTGCTCTGCTCCCCGCTCTGGCTCTGGTGAATTCTCTCACCCTCCCGCACTTCTGACTGTACCCAGTGCATGTATAAATAAATAAATAAATCTTAAAAAAAAAAAAAAAAGAAATTAAGCAGCTGAAAATGTTTTTTAAAAAAAGTCATTATCAAAAGGGAAAATTAAAAAGTCACAAGTCCCTCCTCCCTCCTTATCAGCACAGTTTCCCTATACTCTCTGCATCTCCAGCTCCTCTCTGCTGAAGTCTGTCATCATTCATGCTCTCAAGTTCACATGAAGGCCCCCTGGCACTCCCACAGACCCCAGTTCCACCCCGCCTGCTGCTGGCACATAGACACAGCACCAAGCAGTGGTGTGCGGGGTGTGAATAGGGGGTTCCCATCCTGGCATGTGTGAGCAAGTGGGAGAGAGTAGGAATTTTGTTCCCAGTTCCTCAACCTGCTTTTTCTGTGAACTGCACTTTTCTTTCACATTGCCTTTAGGCTGGACAGCCCTGTGACTACTTAAGTTCAAGTGCATTAGGGTTTAAGAGACCTTTTGTGACCTGGATGGCCATGGTATCGTCTTATAACAACATGTGTTCTGAGTTCTAATCTATGATGCCAAAATGGGCTTGCAGAATATAACTTACAAGTCAGTTGAGATCTGGCTCGTACGTAACATTGAAACACATTTCCATAGCTGAATGCTTGAGCTGACTCAATAAAGGAATTGGCCAGTGGATCAATCCACCATCTAAGTATTCTTTCTTGATTAACTCATGCCATTTGCAGCAACATGGCTGGAACTGGAAGGAGTTATACTAAGCAAAATAAGCCGGAAGGAGAAAGACAAATGTACTTGGTGTCACTTCTAGGTGGAATACTGAGAAACCCAACAGTCAGGCAAAGACATACTTTAAGAGCAACCCTTGAAAACTGATCACAGATTTGTGGCTTTCAAGGGGGGAAGGGTGAGAAGGGACATGGAAAGCACAGTGGACTCAGGTGGAGGTTTATGGGTGCTTCGGTGGTAGAAGAACTGCAGTGACTATAACTGAGGAGGGAAATCGTATATAGTCCAAACACCAGCAAGGATGTCACACTATGGCACTTTACTAATAACCGAAATAAAGAAACAGAAGAAGGAACGAACTTCGTGTATGGCAGGATGGTTGTGCAACTCAGTGGGGGCAGGTAAAACTGTTCAGCAGACCCATATCAGACCAGCTGTACATTTAAGGAGACAATGCAGTTTGGAAATAAATAAACTTTCTTTTTTTTGAAAATTTTTAAAAATATTTTTTGATGCAGTAATACTGGTTTAGAAGGAGAACATTTGTAAAGACACATGTGACATGTCAGTTTTGAGCTTTGGAAGTTAACAAGTCTCTTTTGAGGCCAGAAAATGTCTCACTGTCTCTCTGCCCTCAAATCTTGTGTGATATCCAATATGCACTCAGTAAGTCTTATTGAGCACCTATTACATCCCTCAGAAATAGACCAGTGAATAAAACAAACAAAGCTCCCCGCTTTGTGAAGCTTTTAGCCAATCTGATTCTTAGGGGCAGGTGTGGCCTTCATCACATTCCCTCAGTCACAGTCTCCCCAGGGGACACACAATTTAGGGATACACATTTCCAATCCTTCCAACTGTCATTGCTCATTTGCAAAACCATGTGGCATGAACTCCGTGTTATTTTGTCTAAACAGGAGTTAGGTTGCCCTGACCGACTGTCTCTCTCTCCTTTCAGCTGCAACGTTTTTTCAGTAACATGTTGGAGGAGCACCAGCGGCTTACAGTTCAAGCCAAATTACAGACAATAAAGAAAGAAAATCTGAAAAACAGAAAGCGCAGTGCCAAGATCGCTGCATGGCTGCGGAAACACATAATCTAGCACCAGGTCGGCCTCCTCATGCTCATTAGCATCCTGTTTGCTCACAATTGTATTTCTCAATTGTGCGAGTCTGGGAAACCACACGTTTTATTATCTGTGTTTCACTCCCTCATCCTCCTCAGCATCCTGGCCTCCCCCCCACACTGTCATGTTTGCCAAGGGATTGCTGGGGTTCCACCAACATTGCTGTATTTCTGGGGGAGATTTCCCTTCATGTTGGGCTATTAAACCACAAAATTGACTTTAAATGCCTTGTAAAAACAAATCTACGTTAGAAAGTCTTTTAGTCTATTGTGAAAACCTGTGGAACATTAAACCATCAGCTAAATGAACACATTCTTTTCTGAGGGAAATACAGATTTGCAATACTCTCAGGCCTATTTAGTTCAGTATTTGGAAGAGTGATGAGCAAATAACATGTCAGGACAAGGAAACAGAAACCAGGAAAATAATATTCTCTGGAAGACAGAAAAGTCAGAGAAAAGCAAGCTTTATAAAGTTAGGAACACAGAATTTCATGAGCCACGTTAAATGTTCTAAAGGCAAGAAATGTGTCTCTTCTTCCCCGTCCTCTCTCCATAGCACCTACCACTCCACACCTCGCCCTGCTGGCTGCTGAGTTCTAGGGTGTCACAAAAGGTGCAAGATTGTAGGATCTGTGAAGCACCCTAGGACTACAGGTGTGGAGGCCTGATCGGGAGGAAGTCTCTGTGCTCAAGGCCCATCATTGCATGGTTGGGTCAAGCCCTCTTGCAGCCAAAGTTTATGAGCAAAATTAATGGTGTCAAACGAGAAGAGCAGTTTTGGGGTAATCTTTAGCACAAAGGGAATACATCAAATAAAGGGAACTAGAAGAAGGGCTAGCCAGAGCTTAATCTTTACAGCCGGACACTCAGAGGATTAAATTTGAGATGTCATTTTCCTTGGTATAATTGCATCAACGTGTAATTTGTACAACTTACAGTCACTTACTGTGACTGATTTTCATCAGTCACAATAGATGGAATTAGCTTCATTTTGTTACCCCTGATTAAGTCAGCTCAGCCAAAGCATCATCCCACTCTAGACTTTGTGTGTATAGGATTTAACCCTGCTAACTTTTGATTTTGTTTTTGTAGAATGGGGGTAAAACTACAGATCTCCTGTCTACCTCAGAGTAATATTGTAAAGATGAAGAAATATATCAATTAAAAGTCTTTAAATATGTTACATAAACTCAAGGTAATGTGACCTAAGGGTTTTTCTCCCTGTCTCTTGTCTAAGTTAATGCAGCCCAAATATAGTGCTCATTCTGTATTTCCTGTGATCCTTCTGATTATAGTCTCATCTTTTTTAAAAATATTTATTTGTTTATGCATACAAAAGCTGGAGTACAGGCCAGAGATGCGGGGAGTGAGAGGATCCACCAGAGACAGAGTGGGGAATAGACCAGGCAGACTGACCAAAATACACTGCTGAGGGGAGCAGCGGGAGAGACAGGAGAGGTCTGCTGCGCCATGTGGGTTTCTCCCTGGCCAACTGGGGATTGAGTTCGTGCTGCAGAGGCTGCGGATTGCTTCATAGTGCAGTGCTTAACCCCTTGCGCCACCAGGGAGGCCCTATAGTCTCATCTTTTGATAATTGTGTCACATGCCACAGACAGGGGTCTGATGCCTGTTATTGGATGATGCCAGTGCTGCTAATACAACCAAAGAGCTCTCCAAACCTTTTCTTTTCTTTTTTTTTAAAAAAAGATTTATTTATTTATGCATACAAGAACTGGGGTACAGGCCAGAGGTGTGGGGGGTGAGATGATTCACCAGAGACAGAGTGGGGAACAGAACAGGCAGACTGAAATACACTGCTGAAGGGAGCAGTGGGTGAGACAGGAGAGGTCTGCTGTGCCATGTGGGTAGCTCCCTGGATGGGGGTTGAACTCATGCTGCAGTGGCTATGGATAGCTTCATAGCGCTGTGTCTTAACCTCTTGCGCCACCAGGGAGGCCCCTCCAGACTGTTTCTTGACAATGCAGGACCTGTTACATCTTTATCTGTGTAGTAAATACACAGCATTGTAAGTGCTTATCCAAAATCCAGTGCCCAAGTATTTGGTTAATAGTCCTCTCCTTACATGTGGAAAAGAATTTTGGATAATGTACATTTTTTTCTTCCTTGGAAGAGGCCAACTATTCCAGAGAAGCCTTACATTTTATTATACCCCACCTTATACTGAGTATAAAAAGGATTGTTAATTGACTACTGGGATAGCCTGGAAGTTAGACTGAGGCAGATTTTTCCAAATGGTGCAGGCCTTTCATTGACATATAAACCAGCTTTTCTATTAGCATCCCAACTTTTTATTGTTCATTCTTAAACAAGTTAAGATATACAATGTATTCATAGTTTTTTGTTAATTAGAAATTAATGTTTTTTTCTTACAATGTTATGCTCCAGTCCATTCAGTGACTTTCCATTGTTGATTTCAAATAAAAGAGCAAATGCCTTAGTCTTGAAAACTCAAGCTCCACTGCAACTTAGAGCCCTGGTGCTAACCTATATAGCAGTTTATCTAGATGAATGAGTGAAGAAGCCAAATGAACAAGATTAAATCAAGAGTTCTTGACTTTTTTCCTGTTAGCTTCAATGTTACCCTTTTTTTTTTCCATTCAAACCCTAACAGGATTAGTATGTAAAGCAATGTCTTAAGGGGAACTTACAAGTCCATGTAACACAAAGAATTATGTAGAAAAATCAGCAGCATTTGTATCCATTCATACGTGGCCTGTACCTTGCTCTTCTCTCTAATTCCACATCTGCAGAGGATCCTTTCCAGCCCACATGTGAAGGAGTTATTTGACCTCTTCCTCTTCCCATCTGTTGAGAAGGGTCAAGGCTGTGCTAATAGGTTTCTACAGCCAACAGGAGCTGAGGAGGAGCTGCAGTGACTCCGACCAGGAATGGGGTGTAGGAGCTGAAGCAGAATGAAGAAGGTGTCTACACAGCGGGGTGTGGCAGAGCACATGGGAGGGTGATGATGGACACTGGGATTTCAGAGATGTACCCCAGAGCAGTAAAGCGATGCTATATATGGGGTTTGTGGGACCCCTTCTGTATCCTCAGGCAGTGATCACCCAGTCATTTAGGATGGGCCCTCAACCCTCGTATGTCTTACCTGGGGTCAGTGGAATCTGTTATTCCCATCAGTGTCTCAGAACTAGGACAATCCTTAGTGATGTCAGAGGCCCAGGTCTCATTTAACGATTATCCTAAGAATGTCCCATGGAAGACCTAGTCATCTATTTTTGGGCATTTGGGTTGTTTCCATAGCTTAGCTATTGTATATAGTGCTGCTATAAACATAGGGGTGCAGGTGCCCTTTGGAATTAATGTTTCTGTGTCATTTGGGTAAATACCTAGGAGTGGAATTGCTGGATCATATGGAAGCTCTATGTTTAGTAGGTCCAGAAATCTCCACACAGCTCTCCATAGTGGTTGGACCAGTTTGCACTCCCACCAGCAGTGCAGGAGAGTTCCTTTTTCTCCACATCCTTGCCAACATTTGTTGTTGCTAGTTTTTTTAATATGTGCCATTCTCACTGGTATAAGATGGTATCTCATGGTAGTTTTGATTTGCATTTCCCTGATTAAAAGTGGTATATATATACAATGGAATATTACTCAGCAATCAAAAAAGAAAAATGCATGCAGTTTGCAGCAACATGAATGGAGCTAGAAGGGATCATGCTCAGCGAAATAAGTCAAAAAGAAAAAGAAAGATTCCAGATGGTCTCTCTCATAGCAGGAATTTAGAAAACTTAAATAAGAGACCAGGAAAAAGACTAATCAATGCAAAGTGAAAATCAAAATCAACAAGCAACTATAAACCAGAGACACACTATGGGGGGGGAGAGAGGGGTGGAAGAGAAAGGACTAGAGTCAAAATAAGGGGGGGTACAATTGTATGGGGAATATAACCAAAATGACAATGCATGCATTGTGCAAAGATGAAAAATGATGTAAGAATTATATAAAATAAAACATTAAAAAAAAGAATATGGACAATTGAAAAAAAAGAATATCCCATGGAAGAGAACAGAATGTTCCTCAGAGATATCAGCAGAGAATGCAAGGCCTTCCTAATCGCTAGACCAGAGGGTGGCTCCCAGCAATGAGAGGGAGGCTAGACAGGGGACTGACTTCATCAAGGAGATGTCTCCCTCATCGCTTCCCCACCCCCAGCCTGTCAACACACACTCCCAATTTTAGAGAAAATATGCTTAAACAAGTTCTTAAAACAAGGAACTTGTTTTGTTCTAATTAACAAAAAACTATGAACACATTGCATATCTTAACTTGTTTAAGATTATCTTAACTTGTTTAAGATATACACATTACCAATAGGTTCAGAGAGAAGTTATGACCTACCACATGGAGCAGAGAAGGGAGGTAGTGGGCAGGAAAGTGCTGCCCCTAGAATGAGCCCCCTGCTACTTGGACTCAACCTCCATATAACCCAGGAGGGGAGTAGCCATCAGGGTCCAGTCAGGACAAAAAGCAGATGGTTTTTGTTGTTGTTTGTTCTAGCAAAAAGATTTATTTTTTTCTATTTATTTATTTTTATTATTATCTGTTATATATGTTTTACATCATTCTTCCTTTTTGTACACTGTGGGCTTTGTCCTCTCAGGTGCAGGCCCCGTGAAATTCCCACCACCATTTCACCCGCACACCATCACCACAGTGCTCTTGTGTTCTTCCTGCCCCTGCAGATTGTCTCTGATTAATAGTTGCCTGTTAATTTTAACAAAGAGATGCAAACGTTAGGAATTTGCTCATTGGGATTAGAGAAGTGAGAATATGCAAAAGAAGAACCCAGTTCTAGTGCAGGAAGTAGTTCTCCCTTGAGCTTCCCAGAATATCAGGCAAAGGTTGGAGCTCAGAGACTACAGAGTTTAAAGTGGGGAGCACAGACTTGCTGTTTTATTGGAGCCCACCCACATGTCCCTCTCCCAAGCTCAGGATCTCCTTCCAATCAGGCTGTGAATTAGAATTAGATTGTGACCTTGCAGCCTGCAGAGTAGCTTCAAGAACAAAGAGCTTCCATCATTTTCTTCCTCAGCCTCCGGCACACCCAGAAACCACCATCAGCTCCCAGAAACCACCATCAGCTCCCGCAGCAGCCTCTCAGTCAGCAGGTTCCTCCAGGCCGAAAGGCACTTTGCTCAGCAGGTACCTCACTGTGATCAACCACAAGAGACTGATCCATCATCAGGCCAAGGACAGTGCTGCGTCTGACCTCAGAATCCCACCTGGAGAATCTATTTTCTGGGAGTCTGCAGGTGTCGGGAAAACAGAGCCAGATCCCCTTTTCTTGAACTGAGAAAACTTATAAGGAAAAGTTATGTGAGGAACTGAAGAGGCAGAAAAAAAGTAACACTGAGCTAACACTGAGCTATTTTGTAACACCAAAATAGAAGAGATGGGGTTACTTAGAACCAAGAAGTAGGTGCTTCTGCCTCCAAAGCTGAGGTAAAGCGCAGGACAGAGCTGGAGCCCCACACTGGGGAGGGCCAGCTGGTTCTGGGGCTGGGACACTGGTGTGGGGGAACCCTGAAAATGGAATCCTACAGCCACTGTCAGGATCACTGCTGGGGTGAACCTGGTAAAAACAGAAAAAACAAGGACAACCCCCAGCCAGTCTCCCTCCCTCTGCCAATCTTTCCGTGTCTCTCAGCACCCCCTGTTGGCAGAATTTGAAATGTGGTTTGCAAAGCCCCTACCCTCCTTCCCCCCAACATCACACAGGCCAAGATAAAAAAAGGATCGGAACGGAGACATTTTGGATTAATGAGCAACTCAGGTCAGTATAATTGTATGATTTTTAACTCACTGGAAAACAGAAGCTTAAGGCAAGAACCAGAATTTAAAACCCACTCTGTTTACTGTCAAACTCCATTTATTTGGATTTTTTCTTTGCCTTGGTAAGTTAGGACATAGCAAAAGTACTATTTTATGTTGAGAAACCTCATGTGAAGGCTTTCAATCCACACACATCCACCGGAGACCTGAAAGCTAAGGTGTCAAGTAAACATTTTTTTGGAAACAGTAGGCAGAGACTGTCAATAGGTTGGACTCCAGCGCTAAGCATGTTTGTTTGTTTTTTTAATAAGAAAAGAAAATTAAGACTTGTATTGAGAAGTGTTAATACAAGCTTCTCATCTGGAAAGTGAAAGCATTGCCATGTGTTAGTGGTTCTCTCTAGGACTTCTTGGAAGTGTTTTATGGATCCCATAGGTGGGGGTGAAGTCTAGCTAGTTCTTGATTACATCAGCCATCGGGGAGAGTCAGGGGAGGGCTCTTGTCTTCAACCTCCTCTGAAATCAAGGAGTTCCAGTGTGTTGCTTTCGTATATGAAGATTTGTTTAGAGAGAAATCTAAAAAAAGACATTTGAAAAGGGATGGACTATATCATTGCCAAAGTCCTTTTCATCCACTTTATTGCTCAAGAATCCTCACAGGTCACCTTGCTCTGCAGCTTCCTGTGTTCCACACATCCCCGATTTACCTCTGAAATGACTGACATTGGCTGTAAGAGGTTAACCAAATTATAGTTAATGGGAATGAAAACTCGGGAGACAGTGTCTATTTTGACTGACCCTGGTCGGGAAACATGCCTTGGGGACACAGCTATCTTGAAGCAGTAAAGGTTACTGCTTGGGGGGGGGGGGGGGGGAATCTGTTTTAATTTTGGCTGAAGGTTTTTGCGCCATCTGCTGGACATATATATTTTGGACATACTGTGAGAGAACGGTAGTGTATTCTCAGAAGCATCTTTTTAAAATATTTGTTAATGCTTTAAAAATTATAAAATATATGATTATTATAGGAAATCAGTAAGTATGGGAAATAATCAAGGATAAGACAAAAATCCAGAGATACCTTCTAGTACCTTGCAATATTTCTTTACACACACACCAAATATGTGATTGTAAGGTGTGTTTTTTTTTTTTTTAAACACAGATCTGAGATCAACCCTATATTGATTTAGGTTATGACAAAGATAAATAGAAAAGAATGCCTGGAAGATACAAGATTCACGAGAAGGGGCTGCTCTCCGCCCCTGTCGTGTGTCTGAGCTCTAAGTTTTGCCTGTTAAGCACAAACCCAATTTAACAGTATTGGGGAGTGGGTTAGAGCCTGGGGAAAGTGCCATATGTTGCTCAGACTCTCAGGAAATGAATCCCCAAGTTACTGTTCCTGCAGGTAAATGTGCCTTTACTCCTTACTGGTAGTAGAAGGCGGCCCCAAGGTGCTAGTGCTGCGGCATGAGCTATAGGATGAAGGGTCTGGCAGATGCTGCCTGGAAGGGACAGAAAAGCAGGGGAGATGAGGATGTAAATAAATCACTACTGTGCAAGCTTGCAAACAGAAGCTTGCCTGCTTATCCTAGCTGGACGACGGTCCCATTCTGGACTTCTCCTTGCACACTGACAAATAAAACTTACAACTAATAAAAAGTATAGACCAAATACACTATAATGAACTAGAAAAACAAAATACAAAGGAAGGATGGAAGGGGGGAGAGAGAGAGAGAGAGAGCAGGAAATATAAACGAGCTTCTTCATGGAATAAAAAAATATTACAAAAAATTTCTTCTTTGAATCAAGAGGTCAAATCAGGAAGAGGACTCAAAAGAGACCATAAATGGACAAAAGAAGATAAAAAGCAAACTGGGGTGGCAGTGGGCTGGCAGAGACAGACCTAATGATATTTATATCCACAAATGTTCATATTAAGGGGGAAAAGATAGGAAACTAACGAGCTAAGCATGTCTTAAGACACAAGAAAAACAACATTAATATAGAACCAAAACAAAGAATAATGAACTAGAAAAACAAAATACAGAGAAAGGAAGGATGAAAAGGGGAGAGAGAGAGAGAGAGAGAGACCGAGAGAGAGAGGGAGAAAAATGAAAGAAAAGGAAAGAAGGAGGGAAGCAAGGAGGGAAAGACAGAGGGAGAAAGTTTAACAAGATGAAAACTGAGAGAGAAGGCACAAATAATAATAGGACTAGGGCCTCCCCTGGTGGCGCAGCGGTTGAGCGCTGGGCTGCAAGGCTGCCCGCAGCCTCTGCAGCGCCAGTTCATTCCCTGGCTGCCGGCGAGGGTCCCACAAAAAAAAATTAAAAAAAAAAAATAATAGCACTAAAAAGAGAGACATAGCTCCAGATGCTGCAAATAAAATAAAATGTGATTATGACCAACTTATGTTAATAAGTTTGAAATCTTAGAAAAAAATGGTTCTGTTCCTAGAAAAATGTGATTTACCAAAACCGTCTCAAAAAAAAAACAACTTAGATTCTCATTTGGCATCTGCTTTCTTAACAATGGTATGTATATTTTTCTTTCTAGCAACAAATATATGTCCAAATTACCTTTTTATATACAATGATGATACTGTATTGTATTACATTATTTGATGATTAAGTTGTTAGATTTTTGCTCTTCCAAACTGGCAACTCTATAAAGTAACAGTCATATAAGATGCCATTTTTTTTTTTCCTCAAAGACCTTTATCTTTCCTTAGCAGAAGTTTCCCAAAGAAGAATTCTGGGTCAGAGGTCTATTTTAAATCTTTTATTGCACCCTGAATGGTTATAATCTTTTGAAGGTGTGAAGTGAAGCTGTTCCTGGTAAAGAGAATAACAGGAACAAATTTGGTATTTACAGCAATGATAAAATGTGCCCTGAAAATGGCAATTTTAGTCTATAGAGTAGTTAAATGTAATATGACATTACTAGATCAAATTAGTAGGGAATATTAGCACAATCATTATAATAGGGATGCATATGGACACAATATTTTATAATCATAAATGATACTACAATAAATAAGCTCATGAGTTGTGTTGCTTTTAAGGTACAGGGCAAATTACAGATTAATATACAGCTACAAATTTATAAAATAAGTTAATACAATTATAAAGTTTTCCACTGTCCAGGAATTAATAAACTGAGCATTATTTCAGCATGTGAATTCTTCATTTGAAAAAGCTGCCAATGTTGATTTACATTCAACTGATCCTCTAGAAAATCTGAGCACTCTGAAGAAAAGAAATACTTTTTCTGAGTAAAAGTCATCTCAAAGTGGAATAAACTCTGGACTTGCACATTTAGAGGTATTATTAACTTTGAAAAGCACTCTTCCAGTTTTTAATATAAAGTTCTTCAGAAGATTTGCCAGTTAAACCATTAATTCAGAAAGCTCTTAGCTTTTTGCTTGAGAAACTTGGAAATAATACAGGGTAAATTATTTGGTATGATTTATTTTGTATTTTATTTAAAAAAAAATAGTAGCAAAGTAATGGTTTTTGGTCCTGTGGCATACTGTTATTTCCTTAGCACTTTAATTTTTAAAAATATTATCTGCACTTTTCTTTTTTTTTAATTTATTTTATTTCTTCAAGCATACAAGAACAGGGGTATAGGCCAGAGGAGCGGAGGGTGAGAGAATTCACCAGAGACAGAGCAGGGAACAGAATAAGCAAATTGAAATACACTGTTGAGGGGAGCAGCCGGCGAGACAGGAGAGGTCTGCTGCACCATGTGGGCAGCTCCCTGGACGGGGATTGAACTCGTTCTGCAGTGGCTGCAGATAGCTTCACAGTGCTGAGGCTTAACCCCTTGCACCACGTGGATACCATCCTCATCCTTTAGATTTCCCTCTGTCTGATTAGTTTTAGGATGACGGCCCTTGCATTTGGTTGTTGCTATGTTTGCTATTTTGGGGTTCATTTTGGCCTCTCCAAGCCTCTCCAAGATGTCCAGAACAGACGTGTCACCCTGCCGCCTGGGTTGTTTAAGCTGAGGTCTGTGGATACCCTGCAGGCTCAGGAGAGCTTTTACCATTGCCTTACCTGCCTAGAATAATGAAGATTGGGGGCATTATCCAGATTTAGGGTTATCTCCGTAAATAACTTTTCTTGATCAGAAAAGTTTCTTTTCTATATGGCAGAGAGTATCTGGTTTGTCATGTGAGTCCCCCTCCTACCTCCTTGATGCCCCAGGCCTCTACACCACCCCTTAGCCCGGATAAAAAACCTCAGCTTGCCCTATTTACACTAAAAGGTAAAGCTATGTGGACTCTTCACACACAATAATTAAATTTCTTCTTTTTTTCCTTCTAAGCTATCTGATGTTAAGTTGATTGCTTGACTAGCCAGAGATGACCCCAAATAGGGGTATACAGGAGTTTTCCCTCTGTCCCTACAAGTAAAATCAGTGGAGACTGCCTTTTCCCACTGATTGTTGGCCAGGGAATGTATTTTTATAAATTGTGATTGATGGTGGAGAAGAATGGCAGGATATTTACCTGCTGTGAAGTTTAGCAAACCATAATGGCAAGTTGGCCATGTTTGACATGTCAAATTTACATAGTAATCTCAAAAATATGGGCATTGCTTCATGGAGGTAAAGTTTAGGTCAAACCTACTTCTACTATCACCTTAAGGTTTTACTTCATTGCCAGATGGGGTGCAAGCTATTGTACCGGAAGATTTTGTTGCCTTTTCTTGTTCTTTGCAGCGAAAGTAATTTGAAATGAACTGGTGATTTTATTCTATGATTCACAAATGAATGGGGCGGGTATTCATGTGCCCATGAAGTGGTTTTAATGACTCATAACAAATCTGAGTCCTACTGGCAGATGACAGGGGTTGGAGGGCTGTCATTTAGAGATGAATACATGGCTTAGCTTAGCTGATCACTGGGGCTTATATGCTCTTGGGACAGCATGTTTTTGTTCTCATATGGCAATAGAGATATCGGCAGAGATAGTAGAGGTAGATTTCTAGAAACTTAG